TGGTTGGCAACAGTTGCTCGCAAACATGGCCATTTTGGCGAGGTGATGACAACGAGCACCGCTGCGAATAAATTGCGCGCACATTTGAGCCGATGTGGTTTGAGGCGTTGTGCTCAAACACAGCAGCACCATGTGAGAAAAGCAGCTGCTTTTTGGTGTGAAGGGGGACTTCATAAGCACAGCTTGTTCAGAAGAACAGTCACTCTGTGTGTAAAGCGCTATTCCCTGGCGTGCTGCCCCGCAGCAGGGCCGGCCGAGAAGCAACACCAGGGCAGTGACAAGTGACGTGTTGTCCATGGAGAAATAGGCGCTTCCAGCCGGTGTGAAGCGCACAAAGCTCTGAGGTGCGGCCTGGAAGGAGAGCGCATGCATATGGTGTGGCCCATGGCAGCCTCACTTGGTAGTTTGATGTGGGCTGTGTGGTCAAGCCGCCGATTGAGAGATGCATTTGTGCCGATGAGGTGGAAAAGGTGAGCGGGGCGACGGAAAAGGTTTGGAAAGGCACGAGAAAGGTGAAGGCAGAGAAGGCAAAGGAGAGGGGAAGAGCCACGAGAAAGGTGAACGGGGCGAGCGGAAAGGCAGGATCTGAAGTTTTTGTGTTATATGGTTTCGCAACGAAATCCATGCGCTTCCTGTGTTCGACAGCTGTCTTACTCCTGATGCAGGAAGAGGAAGAGATGAGAAAGGAAAGGGCAAATTCAGCGATGACAGCAAGGGCTTTCACTCAGGCAAAGGCCTGTATCTTAGATGCGTGATGTTCGGACCTTTGACGCAATGCGGCGCAGCCATTTGTACCTTGACATGCGGTGCACGGTTTGGACATGACAGGCGTTTCCACTGTGGCCACTGTGCCAAGGCGACGGGTACAAAGGTGATGGCTTCAAGGATGGGTATAGACACCAAGATGCAAAAGAGGAGGAGGAACGTGCCGAGGCCACACATTGCTTTCATTCGTCCAGGGAAACACATGACTCCGGGTAAGTACTTGCCTTGCAAATCCAATCCGCACACAACATGTTGTATGTGGCTTTTTGTTGCGCCCTTGTGGACCTTCTTGCATGATGCACTTACCTGATGGGTGAACTCCGTGGGTAGGTTGCTATGGGCGACCGATACGGCAGAGGTTCCAGGCACTTGTGTTTTTGCTCACTGAGCGCTTAGACCGAGCTGTGCAGGCAGATGAGATGGCGGGCTGTCAGTGACCGGGACATCATAGTCAGAGTCGGCCTGGGGGTGCGCCGGTGTGATGAGCCCATCAGATGCTGCAAAGTCTCAGCCCATCTGTTCATGTGCCTACTTTTGCAACGAGCAAACACCTGCGCCAGATGGAGACCGACATCGTGGGTACTCTCTTGGCAGGATCTCTGGTCGCGCAAGTTGGCGAAGACAAGGCGCGGTACATGTCGGTTTTCAGTCGTCATCCTTCGTTTGAGACTGAGCATTCCAATTTCTCGCATGTTCAGATGCTGAAAAATGGTATCGCACGGATGTTCATCCAGTCGATCGAGCCTACTCCCGGAATCAAAGGATGGGTGACTAGGACTGCTTGGGATGCGGGCTGCTGGCTTGCACACACTAACACTGACTATCCGAAGCTGTCGTGCGCCGGCTTCCACATGTTCCAGACCCTCCAAGACTCAAATGCACGGCCCCAGAGTAGCGAAGCTTGATTCAGCATTGAATTGGGAATCAGCTTGACACTTCAGCCCTTCCCAAGAACCTTGACAGAGGCGGCTTTTCCACTGTTCCAGCTAAAGGGAGTCGCCAAAGCTACCTGTCGTTCTACAAGCTTGATTTGTCGGAGGAGCGCTGAAGCCGCTGGTGGCCCTGTGTTCTTCAAGCCTGACCGCGCCCCCGTCAGGCAGCTGGGCAGAATGTTGGCCGGTTGGAGGGTTGGACAGGTTGCCTTTGGTTTGCTCCTCAATGATTCAGAAGTGAATCCTCATGTTGATACCGCCCCAGGAAAAGCCTTGCCCTGAGTCGTGATTTGGAGTGGCCAGGGAGAGGGGCAACGAGGGCGGCAAAAGCACTGGCAAAGGCCAGTTTCGAGGTGGGATGGGCTTCTACATGGCCGATAGTTGTGGAAGGAACCGTACTGCCTTTGAAGGTGAGAAGGGTGAGAAGGGCGAGAAGGGCAAACATGAAGCCAAGGCGGGCAGTGCGATCCACTCCTCTCCCCCTCCCCTCCGCTCCGTCACTCCCTCTTTTTCTTCCCTGAGCTTTATGGTTCTTCTGCTGGATCCTCTCACACTGGCCTTGCATAGAGGAGTCGAATAGAAGCTTGAACAGAGAACTTGCTCAGAGAAACCCTCTCAGAGAACTTGCGCAGAGAACTTGCTTAGGTAACTGGTGCAGACAACTTGCATACTTGCTGAGAGAAACATTCCGAGAACGTTCCTAGAGAATTGGAGAGAGAACCTAGCTCAAGAAACTCGTGCAGGGAACTTGCTCAGACGTTGCTCAGGGAACGTGCTCAGAAGTTAGCTTTCTTTTCGTGCCGGGCTGGAAGCGTAGGTGTTGCTTGAGATTGCGACCGTCAAGTTGACCTTCAATAGCGTCAGGAAACGACACTTGTTGTGGAGAGTGCGCTGCCCTTTGCGTGGATCGAGGTGCAAAAGCCTGAGTGTTTGGCAACTTTCGAGAGCCGCGGAATTGCCTTCTGTTTTGGCCAGCATGGGGCGCAACTTCCCGTGGCATTGCATTCAGGCTGCAGGCCTAGGAAGCCCACCAGCGCCGATTCTTTTGTGCTCGGCGGGCCCCTTTGTGCAATTGCAAGAGGCGCAAAGGCTAAGATCCGTTAGCATGTTTTTGGGGTTGCCCTTTTGCTTTCATGGGCGCAGTGTCCAGACCAGCTGAGAACACCATTAGAGAAGTTGCGCAGAGGAACTTGCTCAGAGCGCACCCGTGGGGAAAACAAGTTGTGCAGAGAAGCTTGTGTACAGAACCTGCTCGGACGAGCTGGCTCCCAATTTACGCTGTGAAACTTTCTCAGAAAAGCAAAAACACATGCTCTGATAATTTTGCACCGAGATCTTTGTCAGAGACACTTGCTTAAGAAACTTGCAGAAACTTGTTCAGAGAGATTGAGTAGAGAAGCTGGCTTACAAAAGCTTGCGCAGAGCTTGCCCGGAGCTGTTTCTGTCTGTCTCTGTTTGTCTCTGTCTGTCTCTGTCTATCTCTGTGTGTCTCTGTCTCTGAGAGACAGAGAGACAGACAGAGACAGACAGTGACAGACAGAGACAGAGAGAGACAGAGAGACAGAGAGACAGAGAGACAGAGAGACAGAGAGGCAGAGAGGCAGAGAGACAGAGAGACAGAGAGACAGAGAGACAGAGAGACAGAGAGACAGAGAGACAGAGAGACACAGAGACAGAGAGGAAGAGGAACAGAGAGAAAGAGAGGCAGAGAGAGAGACAGAGACAGACACAGAGACAGACACAGAGACAGACACACAGACAGACACAGAGACAGAGACAGAGAGAGAGGGAGAGAGAGACACAGACAGACAGGCACAGACAGACTCAGACACAGAGACAGAGCCAGAGACAGAGACGGAGTCAGAGACAGAGATAGAGAGAGAGAGAGAGAGACAGAGACACAGACAGAGATGGAGAGAGAGCGAGAGAGAGAGAGAGAGAAAGGCAGACAGGCAAAGAAGCAGAGAGGCAAAGAACGAAGAGAGACAGAGACAGACAGAGAAACAGAGAGAGAGGCAGAGAAAGAGAGAGAGAGAGGTCTGTTTGTTTGTGTCAGTGTCTGTCTCTGTCCGTCTCTGTCTGTTTGTGTGCCTGCCTGCCTGCCTGCCTGCCTGCCTGCCTGCCTGCCTGCCTGCCTGCCTGTCTGTCTGTCTGTCTGTCTGTCTGTCTGTCTGTCTGTCTGTCTGTCTGTCTGTCTGTCTGTCTGTCTGTCTGTCTGTCTGTCTGTTTGTCACCTGATGCCAGGTCGAGTTGTTTTCAGATTTCGACTTTTTGACTTGGGGGTGCTGTTTTGCACTGGAACTTCGTGACAGGGAAAGGGCAAGCGATATGGTGGAGACGCGGATGCAGGCAAGCGCAAACATACGTGCAGTATCTTTGCATCAAGAGTATCAGGACCTGGCCTTGAACGCTGTTGCCAAACGGATGCGCTTCTCAGAAGTTCGAGTTTTGTGAGGCCGTTTGAATCAACCTGCAGACCAGCCTGCTCCCGTGGTTTCCGCTGCGGCTGCTGCGGCAAGTCAATGACATGAAGGATAGCCTGCTGCTGTACGAGAAGGGAAGAGCCCATGATCCGAATGCAGCTGGCTAGACTGAAAGCAGCAAACATGATATACTTTGTATTCGGATATCACTTCGCTCATGAGGTCACTTGTTCAACAAGCTCGGACACACTTGACTGGATACATGAACCATTGTCTTCCACATGTTACTCTGCCCTTGCCAAGCTGTGCAAAAGCCACGTGCGCATCAAGCAGAGTTTCAAGTCAATGTATAACATGATAGAGTTACATGCCCTGGCGCGCAGTCAAACATTGCACAATTGTTTAGACACACTTATAAACAGCTTTTCTAACTGTGCCTATGGGCATGAGACACTTTGCAGCTGGCGTTCGCCGAGTCTGCCTGTCCACAGCTAGGGCCGCTGACGCGAAGTGTACTTTCAAAGATGATGTTTTGAAGGAATGCTTGTTTTGAACCAATGCTTTGAAGGTATACTTTCAAAGTTGTTGAAGTTCAGATCTTTGAAAGAGGATCGCATCACGCCTATTCAATACGCATTCCACGGTTTGCCAGTGGCTCGGAGGCTGCTGAAAAAAGGCGTGCCAGCCGCTTTGCTCGTTGGACTCCTTGTTTTGGTTGTTTCTAAGTAACTTCAATTTCGGCAGTTTTCAGCATTTGATTTGGAGGCTGCCGAGGCTTGGACTCAAGGATTGTGAGTTGCAGTTTAGAATAGTCGCTGCTTTCACAAAGAACAAATATCGAGAATCCTTCTCAGAGCCTGTCAAACTTTAGAGCTGTGTATGAGCATGGACTAGTGGGCCTGTTCACTTATGTTTCGCTCTTTGGCGCGATGGGCTCGGAAGACCAGGAGGACAGAGTAGGTGGCTCATGCCAAAGTCCTGACGCGAGCAGAAGAACCTAGGAATCCTGGCACTTCTTGGGCCAAAACCCCTGTGTGGTTTTGGCTTTTGTTGTTTAATGCAAAGTCACCCCCATCCCGCGTTGACAGCCGTTTGTGTCCATAAAGTGCTCCAGGAGTGATCCCTCCCGGACCTGGCAAAGCTTCAGGGATGCAAAGGTGGCTTGCTAGTGATGCACTGAATAATTCACATGAGACGCTTGAGCCACTTGCTGTTGCGTGAAATATTTTAGAATTTGACCGATTGTTAAAGTTAACACAACTCGAGAGGTGATCAATCCTTTTGCGGAGTATCAGTGGATCTCCCAGCCATATCCGGAGTACAACATGCCGAAGGCGGAGAGAGAGAGAGGGAGAGAGAGAGAGGGAGAGTTGTGCCTGCATTTTCACAGCTGTGTGCTTTGAACCAGGTGGCTCATGATGCCCGACCCCATAGGATAGTGTGGATTTTCGATGTGATTGATGCAATCACTGCTCATCACGAGTCGTTGTCGTTGACAAGGTATGCCACCTTGTTTTGCAGCACTGTGAAGTCAGATAGCAGGACTCTGCGGGCTGTGAGTCATTGCGACGAGAAGGGCTGGTGGCATGTCCTTGATGGCAAAGGCTGCCATTCATTTCCTCCAGAGAGCCAGCCTTGTTTCTGGAGTACAGGCCGAGATGTGGGCAAGTTGGCCGCTGTTGCTGCCAGACTGCTGCAAGGCAAGCATCGTGGATTACTCAGGAAATCAGAATCCGTGAGTCCTACGTGGCATCCTAGGAGGTCCAAGCCGCAGATTTCCTGTGTCAAGTTTTCATTGGCTCAAGTGCGGCGGCCTCCATTTGGTTGCCATGACGCTCAACAACAGAATGCTGGACACTGGCAAGCTGGAGCAGCTGATATTTGGAGGCTTCATATTAGGTGGGGCAATGCTCCTGGTGCACCTTGGTTTAGGGAAGGCTGCAAAGAAGGCGGGGGGCCGCATTGAGAAGATCTTTGTGGAATTTCAGAGGAAGGCCTTTCACATGATCGGTGGCTGCATAATATGTAGCTGCTATCACTGGGGCATCAAGCGCCAAGTCATCAAGTCTGCCTTTGCGCCTGATGCGCAGGGCGACGCCATGGACGGCGGCGCAGCCTTCTTGGCTATCTCCTTTGTATCCTGGATCGTGGAGGCGTCGCGCCTGACCATCCCAGCGGTGCAGTCCTGGTACCTCAAAACTTTCAAGGGGCTCATCCGCCAGAAGGAGCACAGCAAGGCTGCGGGCATTGCCTACTTCCTGCCGGGTGCGCTGGCGGCGATGCTGGCGGCGCCCAGCAACTTTGCCGTGCTCGGCGTCCTCTTCCTGTCCATTGGGGATGCTGCTGCGTCTATCGGCACAGCAGGGGGCTATATCCCGGTGGGAACGTCGCCCAGGAAGGTGGAGGGTAGCATCGGGTGCTTCCTGGTTTGCACGGGCTTGGCAATCTACTCTGGGCTGGCCACGGATGTTGCTCTCATTGCCTCTGGCTTCGTTACCTTCGGCGAGGTTCTTGCCGAAATCATTGGGCTGGACGACAATTTTGTGATCCCGCTGCTCGGAGTGCTTGGAGTCCGCATCGGGCTTTCTCCACAGCTGGGTCAGATGGCCCTTGTCATGGGCGCCGGCCTTGGCATTGGTGTGGGACTGGCGGCTCTTGTTGGTTCCACCACCTCCAAAGAGAAATAGCCCCCTCCGCGTGCATGCAGTGAGCTCTGTTTGCACTCCTGAAGGAAAATGACAGAGCTAGGTAATGAGCTCATTTGGACGTCCCGTCCATTTGCCCAGCCTTGACTTGGCTGCAGCTTTAGAACAAGCTGAAAGCATGGTGCATGGTTCTCTTTAAACAGCGCAGGTACAGGAAGTAGTCCCTTGAGCTTGGCTCGCAGGTTCCAGAGCTTGCATGGCAGACAATGGCACGAAAAGTAATGCCAGAGGCTTCCTGGCATCCCTTCAACTGGAATCTGCGCAACCGAGGACTAGTGACTATGGTTGAAATTCCTGTGGAACTGTGCCCGACAGAGATAAAAAGGATTGATGAGTGGATGCTACCATTTCCCGCGATAAGCTTAGCCACTACTGTGCTTCGTTTCAGCCTGCTGAGGTGTGGACTACGCGCCAGATCGCGTCAAAGGCCAGATGCTGGCCTGTCATCGGCTTGCATTAGCATGACCAATGCCAAGCAATGCATTCCGAAGCTTGAGACACTCACAGGCGACTCGGTCATCATTGTCAATGCCATTCACCTTTTCTTCCCGGGTCACACTTGGGCTTGATCCCTGTGGTCATGCGATGCAGTGTCATTGACATGCCGTGAATGACCCGATTGTGCAACAAGAAGGGTGAACATGGCGTTGTCGACCAAGGACACCAAGATTTATAGATTTTGGCGAAACAGACGCTGGCTTGAATTGCTGTGTTTAGCCATCGTGGTGCATTTGAACCTCGGCATCCCATTTTCGCTGTGCGACCACCGAGGAAAGACTGACCCTCGAGGTGCAAAGGCCCGGCACCCTTTGCATAGCCGCATGGACGCTGATTTTGAGTGCAGCTGAGCCCAGCGCAGATCATCACAGCTACGAGACTGATGATGCTCAACCCGTCTATCATTATCTCCCAGGCGTGCCACCTGCACTGATGGAGGGTTTCCTGCCTGCCGCCTGAGCTGTGCGGTTAGGCTGTGAAGGGCATGCTGCCCAAGAACCTCTTGCGGTCGAATTGGCTTCGGAGGCTGAGCTCTCACTACCCTGGATGCGTTGCTCAGACATTATGCCAGGCTCTATTGCTACCCGGGCGCCATCCATCCGTGATGACCTTGGCGAGCATTGCAACTCACGAGTCAATGCTTGTCAATGTTTGCAGGCATTGGGGGATCCCACAAGTGATTGTTCCTGTTCAAAACAAGCTGCAGCCTCAGTGCTAGTGATGCTAGACATGGACAGCACCATGGACAAGCTTTAGGCCTGAACTGCTGCCAGATGCATTCACTTTCGAGGATGCAGAGGCGTTGAACTTTGCTTTGCGCCACACGTTATGCGGATTGGATGCAGAGAGATGCTTCTGACATTTTGCAAGGCACCATGATCTCCATGAGCCCCGTGAGCCCCAGTTTGCCCACGGCTCCAAGTTAACGAGCTGCCTGGATGAAGGCTGTGGACCAAAATGGGCACGTGGAGAGCGGCTTGGGGGGTCAAGGAACTGCTTTCCAACTTTGCTTTGGGTTGTCAAGGACAATGGCTTGAAGCTCGTGTGCATGCAAAGCGCGTGTGACTGCTCAGTTTGCCATCAGCCGGCTGAGCGCAGCTTATCAGCGGCTACAATGATAGGGTAGTCCGAGCGCCATGTCAGGCGAAGCCGCCAAGGAGCTTCTTGATGTTTCTTACGCATGGGGGGCTGATTGACACTTGCCAAGCTAAGCTTGCTGGGCAAAGGGTGTTGCCTTGACTGCTTCGACGGGGCGCTGAGTGCAACGAGACAGGATGCGGCCAAAGCACCAGAGCCGAGACCAACGGTGATGCCAGTTACGTTTCCCCCACAGACACGCTCAGACTGCCGAGATGCGAAGTGTTTTGAAGACATGGTCAGCTTATAAATTGGTTTGCTTGCCCATTTGTCGACACTAAACTCTGTTGTCACTTCCCTCAGACAGTTGCTGAGTCGTTTGAGACCGCTCCTCGTTGTTTTTTACCTTCCACCGAAGGTACATTTGTGGGAACTGCGGAACCAACACCGAAATCAAGCCGAACGACATCATCAGATGTCGAGAGTGTGGGCAAGAGCCCTGAGAACGGAAAAATCCAACTTGAGAGGGAGGGTTGTCAGAGTATGAGACATGGTGTTGGGCGATGGCTGCACCCACTGAGGTACCGGATCCTCTTCAAGATACGTTCCAGGAATCCCATACAGTACCAGGCATGGACTGCAGTGTCAGTTGCTCATTGACTTGTGCTAGCCATCTCGAAGGCAATTTGATGCAAAGATAATTGAGCGGCAAAAGTGGAGTGAGAAACGCAAGCGGACAGCAAGCCTTGCCAAAGAAAACAAGCTCCTCCGCTCGATCGAGAAGGATGTGTGACCAGATTGTCCACCTGCTTGCGAGCTTGGCATTTGGCAATCGGTCCTTGCAGCTCATTTCTGGTAGCCGCTATGCTCAATATTTGGCCATGTCAGAGAAGCTCTATCGTGCCATCAAGAGTCAGGCCAGCTTTTTTTTTGCAACATTTGCCCAGGCAGGTAAGGCAGCTAAGGGGGCGGAATTCCATGATTGCAGTCCCATGTCATTGCCTTTGCATCAATGTGAGCCGATCTCAAACTTTTACAGGTCCGAGCTGTTCATGATGAACTTGAAGATTGGATCTTTGAGGCATCCGTGTCTTGATTTGCTGTCCAAAAGGCCTCTCACAAGGCTTGATCACAACTTGAATGAAGTAGCTTTCCAAAGATTCAAAGGCCCCGGTTTCCAACTGCTCTCTGGCAGGCATTTCGAGAAGGAGGATTGCCTGAATGCGAATCCGACGAGGAGCAGGTGCTTTGAATGCAACTTCTTGGAAAAGTATGATGGCAAAAGCTGAAAAGCCAGCCCGAGACAGAGGGAGAGAGAAAGGGATGACAGAGATCTTTACCCAACTATTCACCGAACGGGTGCACCCCAGTTTTCTGTTCAAGGGACTTGTCTTGCAATGTGGGTTACAAGGATCTGAAGGAGGAGGTGGCTCAGCGACGGCGCGGCATGCGCTACTTCGCTGCTGGCCGACCTAGGCGTGGGGCTGCATGCGCTGTCGGTGTCAGCATGCAAGTTGCAGGGACAGGAAGCAGTTCGCATCCATGCTTTTTCCGAGCCTTGGGACCAACCCAGACATATTGTGCTGTGCGCGCATACTCGCTAAGGATCTTTCAAGGCGATCCAAATGAACAATTGTACCAGGAGGCCAACACTTTCATTGAGGCTGTTCTCGCTCAGTCCCTTGACGGGAGGCTTTTCACGACATCCTGCGAGTTGCAGGGACGTCCGTGAAAGCAAAGTCCAGGCATGATGCGGCGAGGTTTGCCGAGATTGCTGAATTGTCGATGATAGGCACAAGCTCTCCTTCGGCATCAGCGTGTTGTTCTTCACGGCAGGGCAGGGAAACCTGCCGCAGCCTGAAGCACATGGTGGACATGGGCTCGCACGAGATCTCACGAGCACCCACTTGAATCTTCTTGACAGGTACGGCGTGGTGGCCTCCGGCGATTTTCCCACGCACTTGGCCTTTGAGTTTCTGGAGGAAATGCTGGAGGCAAATGCTTGGCCAGGACATGTTTTGCTTTGCGCAAGCTTTCGTGTGACATTGTTTGCGTTCGATGAGTTAGGTCTATGAAAGCATCGATGTTGCATGCGCTCTGGACCAGGCCAGCCATTTGTTGTGCGGATTTACCTGCATTTTCATTATGTTTCCTCTTGTTTACCAGCCTTAGGCGGATGAGACGCTGTGGAGTGAAAAACAATTTGTCCAAGATGCGACCTGGTCTTAGCAACCGCCAGAACAAGTAGCATTCTTAGCCCAAAGTTTTCAGAGTGAATTTGATTTCGCACATTTGTCAGGTTTGGCGTGCGCGAGCTGGCTGTGGCAAGCTGGAAGAAGCGGCAGCTAGCCAGCAAGTACATTTTGCGTCTTGAGCACGCACCCGTGAGCAGAGGATACAGCCTGGCGATGGCTCCTTGTACACTGCCGCATCTACAGTCAAGGTGCATGGCCGGTTTGTCAGATGTTTGCGCTCGATTCTGTGGCTGAGGACAAGTCCCTGGAGATGGAGGAATCCCTTTAAGCGCCGCGCGTGCCGCTCACGAATCCCAGCTGCGACCTGGTGGCTTCAGCGACCTCGAGAATTCCCGGATGAAGTGCTTGGCCCTGGCGCCTTCTGATGCCATCTGACATCTGACCCCATCCCGAAGCTCGGACTTGCCAGAGCCCTCAGAGCTGGTGTTCAATGCGAGGCGTCAGCAAATTGTGGTGCCGACAGCATGGCACGACATCTTGCTTGCCCATTGACAGTTTGGGAAGCACCCGTGGCACGCTTTCCGCAGACGGGCACAGGAGCAATACATTGGAATCGGAGTTCAGTCTCACTTGACACCACCAAGTCACTCTTAATGTTCACTGATTGAGTTGTTGTGTATTATTCATGACAAGTGAACAAACCCATAGAAAGAGGCCATGACAAAAGTCTCAGATTTACAGTACCACCATGTTCGGCGGGAAGAAACTCAAAGACTTGACGGAGGAGGCACGAGCTAAGAATGGTTTCGTGGAAGCTCCCAGTCTTCTTTGTTGAGGACATCCGGCAATATGCCGCGTCATTGGTTGCCATGCATGGTGGAGGCGCATACTCCGAAGGGCCCAATGCCCAGCCGCGTGCTACACGTGTCTTAGTTGCCAGGCCAAAAAGCGGCAGACTCCGAGTTGGTTCCTGATGAAATCCATTGGCCATTACACAATTAGTTCAATCACAACAGTTTGCTCCGAGTTTGGTTGATTGAGGCCGGAGGACGTGGAGAGCTCAGAGCAAGACATGATCAGATGCGTTGCTCGCAGCTCAGGAGCAAGTGGCTCAGCGGCAGCGACTTGCACAGGCTGGCGGCGCTCCCTCGTTGACCCATGACTGCCTTGGATCAGGCGATTGCTGAGGGCGTGACAAAGGAGGACGCACCAGAGGAGCCGAGGCCATGCTGTTTGGACTTTTGAGTCCGTTTTGGTGTTGGTGTGCGTTGGTTTATGTGTATGACAAAAGCAGCGTGCAGCAGTTTTGGCTCCATGCACAGAAAAAACCCGAACCAGGCCATGATTTGAAACCCAACATGTTTGATGGCTGGCGGGTGAAGCGGACTTCAAAGGAATTATTATGAATTCAACAGAGGAGTGCGAGGTGAGGCATGTGTAGAAAGAAAGCACCATGTGTGTAAAGCCATCCAAGCAGCCCTATGGCTGGAGGCCTGCTGTGTGTTGAACAGCTCATACGGAGCCAGGCTTTTGCATGCATACAGGAATGGCCCTGCGTGGCTGGAGTGTGCCGACTTCACGGCCACCAATGCAGATGCTCCTCTGATGATGATGTGAATCGCGTTGCAATGCCAATTCGTGTGACTTGGCAACTCAGGCAATTGCGCTGCGGCGTGGCCCTTGCTAGGGAGATTTCGCGGACAGCAGGATTCCCAGCTCATGGATTCTAGCGATCAATGGAGAACGACTTGGCGCACTATTGCACCCCGGGCCACCACAGATGCAGCGCTGGTTCAGAGCCAGCCCTGACTGTTTTTGCATAACAATTCCCGCAACAACTGAGGCGCTGAGGGGTTCGCAACTTGCAGCAGCTGCAGCTTTTGTGGGTGTTCACTCCCTAGGGATGTGAGTGTTGTGGAAGCTCAGATCTAGAGATCAAAGTGCGTCCAATCTCCAGGCTAGATCGGCGCGGTTGCGACCAAAGACATCCGCAGGGCACATGGTGTTTGTCGAATGGCCAGGCACACAGAGCTTGTGAGGTCTCCATGTCCATCGGGCCCAAGCCGGTGTGGGATGGAACAGGCTCGCTTTCTCACAGCGTACTTGACATGGTTACTGAGTCCAGGCGGTCCGGCCATTCATGGAGTCACCGGTGGAGTGCGGGGGCCCCATTAGCTTCAAGCCCTTTGCTACAGCAAGATGCTGAGGCCGCGTCTGCAGAAAGGCAAGCTACATCGCCAGACGTCCCAGGCAGAAGCGTTCGGCTTATGTGCGCGCTGGAGCAATCTCAGGCGTTGTGTGGATGTGCTGGACGGGCAACAATCCGATGTGTGGAGCTTGCGCGTGAGCTGTAGTCAAGACAGTCAAGACATGTTGCTTGGGCCTGTGTCTAAGTGGCTAGAACTCAGGCCTGCGCACTTGCAGCTGTGCATGCAGACGGTGAGGAGGAACTCTGGCCTGTGCTGGCCTTAGGCAAGTTGAGACCTCACAGCTGAGACGCTGCATGTGCAGGGCTCCCTCGCACTTGTCCTTGAGTCCACGGGTGGATGACGGGAATCGGGGGCAGAGGCCTGTGATCTTGATCACGCCGCAAAATGCTGCGCGGCGGCATCATGGAGTACCACTTTGCTGGACCCCTATGGCTACCCAAGGTTGTTGAGTATGTTCCAGATCCGCATCCAGCCTATCAGTTTCTCCATCTTGCGCACAGAGCAGACTATTTGCGCGCGTCTGGCATGCTTACGCCGTGGTGAACATGATGAGACGGTTGATTGCTTGCGTGTCTCTTCTATATTAATATATGTATATATATACATATATATATATATATGTATGTATATAGATATATGTGTGTATATAGATATTGTTGTTTGCGTGCGTGCTCAATCGCTTGCTCTGCTTGAATTGCATGCTGACTTGCTTTCTTGATCGATCGATTGGTAGACTGGCAGATTGAGGGATTGGCCGAAAGATTGATGGGTTGATTCACCAACTTAAATGAACGGCAGATAATTTGTTTGTCTATCTATTTGATTCCTTGCTTCATTGCTTCATTGCTTCATTGATGCATTGATGGGTTGATGCATTGACTCAGTGAATCATTGATGGATGGATGGGATTGGATTGGATTGGATGGGATTGGATTGGATTGGATGGGATTGGATTGGATTGGATTGGATTGATTTGATTGATTGATTGATTGATTGATTGATTGATTGATTGACTGACTGACTGATTGATTGGTTGGTTGGTTGGTTGATTTATTTGATTGATTGATTGGTTGGTTGGTTGGTTGATTGGTTGATTGGTTGATTGATTGATTGATTGATTGATTGATTGATGGAGTGATTGATTGATTGATTGATTGATTGATTGATTGATTGATTGGTTGGTTGGTTGGTTGATTGATTGATTGATTGATTGATTGATTGATTGATTGATTGATTGATTGATTGATTGATTGATTGATTGATTGATTGATTGATTGATTGATTGATATTGATTGATGGCTTGGATTGAAGTTGGTTTGTTTTGTTTTGATTGATTGCTTGATTGATTGGTTTGATAAATTAATGGATTGATCGGATTGGATTGGAGTTGGAGTTGGGATTGGGTTTGAAGTGTTTTGTTTCAAACATTTTGGTCTTGGTGTTGTGCTTGGGTTTGCTTTTGGTTTTGGTTTTGGTTGTGCAGCCAGGTTGCTACTTGCTGCATAACTACGGCGGTATTTACCTTGATGCTTTGCGCTCAGAAGTGAACAATGAAAAAAATGCACACTACACAGTCAGCCATAGATATCTGCTGCCCAGGCTGACACCATTTGCCTACAAAGCCTTGAGCCGCTCTATGACCTTGTGGAAAACGGTCAGTTTGATGCAGTAGGACCTCTTTTCGTAGAATGCCACATCCAAGTCTTCCGAATGATGTAGACAAGTTGAGGATATGATGGAGCAGCATGGGGCGAGCTGATCGGAATCTCAGCATTCCCGGCGCGTGTTGTAGGTGGCCCCATATGGATGCATGCCGGTATTGAGCCTCCGTGTTTTTCTGCCCAGCTGTCAAGGACATGGGACCGTTTCGACCCAACACCGAGTTGACGCAGCTTTGGCCACAAGCCTCAGTTGTAAATGAGCTATTTTCATGTTATGATCTTTCGTGAATTGTAACCTGTTCACAACTTCTCTCGTTCCAGCTCATCAGCACAACTGAGAGCAATCAATATCCGCGGCCACCACAATCATCAATCAATTCCAAATGATACGCCTTGATACTGATAGCAGCTCGGACTGTCGATCAAGGTTCAATGCTTTGCACGGCAGATTGGAGGAGAAGATGCCAGCCATTCGCAGCCAACGGAGTCTTGCCACAGTTTGGATGAGTTGTTTGCACAGCAATGCTTCTAAGGAAACAAGCTGCCGTGCCCCTGAAACATAATACCCCTATACATCCCATAAGTATTTTGGCCCCCAAGCCCACAAGAGGGTTGTGTAATTGTGTCACATACTCTGAGGACATGTAGTCATTTTCCATGCAACTTGTGCGCCAATTGTGAGGACTGATGTTTTCTACTGGCAGGACGCGCACACAACTGATTCTTTGATTGTGCAAGATTCGTGCAGATGGTGCTCACTGCAGGAGATTCTCAGAGATGTCTTTGTTCCGGTCAGTCTGATTCACAACAAGCGAGTCAGCAAGGCAAGCTGCATATTTCCACCTGCATCGTCCAAATTCTGAGTGGAGCTGTCACCATTGCAGGCGCTCATTGCGCACAATCCAGAGAAGGACAGCAGTGAAACGTATGTTTCTTTGTGAGAAAAGGGGGCCATTTTGTCACAGGAAAGGATCGGCTTAGGACTTAGCTGCGAAGCTCATTAATGGCCTGCTTGGGTGCGGACGCAGGGTGCCAGGGCGAACAATTTGGGTGCAGGTGCAGGTGCTGGTTTGGGGCGCTGTTTGGGGCGCTGTTTGGGGCGCTGGGCGCATGTTTGCGAGATGGACACTTTTGCAAGATTGACGGTAGGGTGACAGGGGCATGCAGTCTGAGTCCGGCATTGGGGTTCTGCTTTGTGATGCTGTTTGGGGTGGCGCGGGCGCATTTTGTGAGATTGCTGCTGCGGGTGCAATCTTGCGATTGATGGCGGGGTGCTGGGGGGTATGCAGTTTGCAGTGCTGGTGCTCCGGCGCAAGCGCGTTTTTCCGAGATTGACGGCGGGGTGCGAGGCACAGGTGCTGTTTTGGGGGGTGTCGTGACGGCCAGGTGTGTTTTGCGAGATGGACGGCAGGGTTATTTGGGGTGTTGGTTGAGGTACTCTTCGGGCAGTGCTGTTAGAGGTGCTGGCGTTCAATTGTTGGCACGATTTTCGCTATTTGGGGTCTATGCTGGTGATTTGTCCTTTGTGTGTGTGTGTGTGTGTGGGATTCAGGATAATTGGTTTGTTCAGGCTCTCATCGAACAATCGTTTTGGCCCGCACAACAGCTGCGGGCTGAGCCTCCGCCATGGGCCCGCCTACGCTTCGGCTTGGCGACAAAAGCCGCGCTGGCCGGCACCTGGTGACCTTCCCTGGTCTCGAGCCCGGCGGAAGTGCCAGCGCGGAGTCGGAGTTGGTGAAGGAGCCTCTTAAGGTGTGCTTGGCTGAGGACGGTGCGCTGCAGCTGGACAACGGATGGTTGCTGCAGGTCGCCAAGCAGCTCGCATTCCGCGGCGGCGTGGCGTACTTTGACAAGAGTACCGCCCGAGGCAATTCGATCGGCCTTGGCCCCACTCGGTGGAAGCTCAATGAGGATTTCTCCTTGTCGCCCGTGGCAAATCTCGATTTGGTGTTAGTGTATGAAGGAGGCGTCGATCCGGTTGAGGAAGTTCGAGTCACACTTGAGCGCATTTGCCCACAGCTTCCAGAACCTTGGAAGAGTTCTTCTGTGGAGGACTTCGAGATGCAAAATTCCAGCGGGTCAGGCGGCACTACATTTTATCTCAAGGGTAAGGGTGAGATCCCTTCCTTGTGTATCAAAATGCAGAAGAGAGTGGGCATTGAAGATGATGCGGAGGTCCAGAAATTGGAAGCCGCTCAGCGTATTCTGGCATCCAAAGGCTTGGCTCCCGAGCGGCTGATGAGCGACTGGGAAGTCTGGGCGGAAGCTTGGGCGCCCAAAGGTGCAGTAGGAGACCCGGACTCCAGAAAGTGGGGTGATTTCAGCAAACAACCGGATCTCGTCGACAAGTGCGGCAGGCTTTTGGCCAAGATTCACAGCATCCCGCCAACATGGTATGAAGAGCACAGTGCAGTGATGAAAAAACAGTTTCCATTGCTCAATGATGTGTCAGCCTCTTCAAAGCTTTGGAGTAGTCTCAGCTTCAACAACAATGTCAACACATACGGCCGGGAAGCAGACATGGCATTGGGTGAAGAGGCTATGAAGATGTACTTGGAAGCCGGTCCACATCCCGTGTCAGAGGCTGGATCACGCACAGTGACTGTGCATGGGGACTTTCTTCCATCCAACATTCTGTACGGCGAGGACGGGTTGCAGGTGATTGATCTTGAGATGTGCTCTTCCGGGCCAGCCGTGGCAGACTTGTCGTATGCCTTCTCATTTTGGGTACCTTCCAAAGTGCGCCCTGTCTTCGTTCGATCATATCTGGAAGAGATCAACGGCACGAAAGACATTTCCGACGAGGACGTGTTTGCGTTGCAGCTGGATGCAGAGCGCTGCATGCCAGTTCATGCCCACCCCATGCTGAGTATCATAAGAGGCATGCAAATCATGCAAGGCCTTCCAGGTGCAGTGAGGCATAGCCTCACAATGCATGCCCAGAACAGCGCAAATACTCCTCTCACCATGTGTGAAGCCTACGCAGACCTTGCTGAGTTGGCAGACAAGGCTCTGGAGGACCGACAGCTTGCGCAAGAGATCATTGGGAAAGGCTTTGAAGCAGTTGCCCGACGAGTTGTTTGGAAGCATGGGCGTGCGCCCATCCACTACAATGCTGCATGGCCAGGGGATTACACTGGCAAGCTTTCCTGGACTGCCGGCATCATTATGGGCTTGCTCTATGTTGTTCGAGTGTTGAAATGAGGCTGCCCTGTGAGTTGTCTCACCAAGGGAGTGTCATACCAACGAGGCAACCAAGAAATGAAATGTAAGTCCTCGCTGAGTCTCTCCCTATCCGATTCGACAATTGCTTGGCCTTGCCAACCATCAGACAGGCCAGGACGGATGACAAGGACAGTTCAGATGTTATTCGCTTTCTCGGTATACAGAAAGTCAGGCACTCAAGTGGTGCTTGCAACATTTAATTGCTGGACAAGGGCAAGAACGAAGCTTCTTGTGAATCATTTCATCCAGCTCGCTCTATTCACGGACTAAGCAGTAAAACAACCTGCGTTTGAATCTCAGGTGCCACTTCCCTTTGATGATCTGCACGCATGTTCCCAGGCACTTGTTCTTAAGGAAAGAGCATATTGCAGAGCATTAGACACATCCATCATGTACCCAAAAAACATCACACAAACAAACAATCAATCAATCAATCAATCAATCAATCAATCAATCAATCAATCAAACAAACAAACAAACAAACAAACACACAATCAAGCAAACAAACAAACAAACAAACAAACAAACAAGCAAACAAAACAAACAAACAAACAAACAAACAAACAAACAAACAAACAAACAAACAAACAAACCAGCAAGCAAGCAAGCAAGCAAGCAAGCAAGCAAGCAAGCAAGCAAACAAACAAAACCAACCAATAAACAAACAATCCATCACTCAACTAAACAAAAACAAACAAACAGACAAACAACCAAACAATCAAACAAAAAGCACAAACACACATACCCACACACCGACACACCAACACCCACACACCCGCGCACGCGCGCACACACACGCACACACACCAAAAAACATGCACAAACGCTTTCACACACACACACATACGCACACACACGCACACGCACAGGCGTGTGCCTGTGCACGCACACGCACACGCACACGCGCACGCACAGCATACACACGCCCACACATACGAAATTACAGACGCACAGACACCCGCCCACACACACACACACACCCACGCCCACCCACACTCGCACGCACGCGCGCATGTACGCACGCACGCACGCACGCACGCAGATTCGCGCGCACGCACGCCTGCACGCACCCACGCACGCACGCACGCATGCACGCACGCATCCAAGCACGCACTCACGCACCCACGCGCACACACACACACTCGCAGCGGGTCAGTCTTGGCCGTGTCCATGACGTTTCTCCATAGATCAAGCCACCGGTTGTCGGAAGTGGTGGTGGCATTGATGTCCGCCTCCGATGGAGGGGGATCCAAATCACCGGTGTTGTCGAAGGGGGGTTGGGGAGGGTGAGGAGTAGCCAGCGTGGGTCGGGGAGGGGGAGGGGGAGTGGAAGTGAAGGCCGCCGCAGGTGCTGGGTGAGGGGGCAAGCTAGTGTTGTGGTGGCCGGTGCGGGAAGTGGGGTGGGGTTGCTGCCCATGGTGCTGCAGTGACCAGGACGATCGTTTGTCCTGGTTGTTTCGGTGGCCGGTGTGGCTGGCGCCATGGTGGTGCATGTCCCAGCGGTTTTTGTTCTGTGGTGGGTATCCCCACGATTGGTTCCGCCAGTGTGAGGAGGACCATTGAGACTTGTTGGAATCCTTCCCGGAAGTGCGCCAGGAGGTGGAATCATGAGTAGTGTGAGTGGGTCGGTGCGAAGTCGTGGCTCTGGGTGCAGGGGAGTGTCGATGGTGGGACCTGTGTCGGGGGGAGCGGGAGCGGAGGGAGACAGTGGAGTGGTGTGCACGTCGGGAGTGGTGGAAGTGTCGGGAAAGGGAACGTGACCTGCTGTAGCTGCGGGATCGTCGGGTGTCGTGTCGTCGGTGCGACTTGTTGTGCCTGCGATGGTGGCTGGTGTGGGAGTGGGAGTGTCGGTGCTGTCTGTGGCGGGAACGGGATCTGCGAGAGTGGGGATGGTGCCGAGTGTCCGGGGGAGGGTGGTTGGTTGAGGAGGTAGCGGCAGGAGCCGCAGCGGCAGCTTCGGGCGCGCGCGCCGGCTGAGGCTCGGGCGGTGAAGATGGCATGCTGCTCTGAGTCATGAAAGGCATGATGGTGCCAGGTGCCAAGTTGCCGTAATTGGGAGGGCCACCGTAGGGCATCATGGCCATCGGGTTGCCAAAGTTCGAGAGGCCGCCGTAGGGCATCATGGGGAAAGGTGTGAAGGATGCCGTCTGCGAGTTGGGTGACGGTACAAGGTTCATGGGCTGCGTCATCTGGGATGACAGCTGCAAGTTCGGTCCACAATTGCCTGGTGAGCCGGACGCGGTGCCGGTCGCAATGCTGTGCAGGAGCGAATGCATCATGTCATAGAGCTGGTGTCCAGCCATCTCGCAAGGGAGAGAGAAGGTTGGAAAGGGGTGAAACAAAACCACAACTGCGGCAAAAATGCGTCAATGGTGCAAATGCATGCGAGCAAAAAAGCGTCAATGGTGCAAATGCATGCGAGCACAAAGGGGTTCTCAGAGGTGCCTGTCAAGTGGCCTCATGAAAGTGCCTCATGTGGCTATGCCGATGAATCTGAACTGAACTCATCCGAGACGAAAGCTTCCATAAACACCACGAATTGCAGAGTTGGTGTATGACCAACTCGTCACTGGCGCATGAAGCTTAGGAACCTGAAACCTCGTGAGCGCAGCCTTGCTTCAAAGGCAGGCAGTGCAACGCACATGAAACCAGCAGAGCACCATTTGGGTGCGGAATACCTTAAGACCTCAAGCTGCAGCCTTGATCGTGGTCAAACGCGCTGAACGGCAGGTTGAATTTGAACGTATGAACGGTCTTCCCCTCGCAGGGGGCTCCCGCATGTGGCGAGTCCAGCCCACAGCGCCATGTCGGACAGGCCGTGGGTAAACACACTTATCTCGAGAGGCTGCTCTTGCAGACACGCGATTGTACTGAAAGGGCATGAAAAAATCAATCTGCAGTGCAAATGTCACATCATCGAAACCGAACATGAAGCAAACAGTGGTAAACCGAGGAAACACATTAGGTCACGAAAGGATGGCAGGTACGCCGGAATGGCCAATTCCGGTATCCCGTCTTGCTGCCTAGCTTTGTTAGACCAGGTCAGCAGCAAGACGCCTGGTCCCCCTGCAATGTGGAATTTCCGTCCGTGCTCCACACCACACACACACACACACACACACACACACACACACACACACACACACACACACACACACACACACACACACACACACACACACACACACACACACACACACACACACACACACACACACACACACACACACACACACACACACACACACACACACACACACACACACACACACACACACACACACACACACACACACACACACACACACACACACACACACACACACACACACACACACACACACACACACACACACACACACACACACACACACACACACACACACACACACACACACACACACACACACACACACACACACACACACACACACACACACACACACACACACACACACACACACACACACACACACACACACACACACACACACACACACACACACACACACACACACACACACACACACACACACACACACACACACACACACACACACACACACACACACACACACACACACACACACACACACACACACACACACACACACACACACACACACACACACACACACACACACACACACACACACACACACACACACACACACACACACACACACACACACACACACACACACACACACACACACACACACACACACACACACACACACACACACACACACACACACACACACACACACACACACACACACACACACACACACACACACACACACACACACACACACACACACACACACACACACACACACACACACACACACACACACACACACACACACACACACACACACACACACACACACACACACACACACACACACACACACACACACACACACACACACACACACACACACACACACACACACACACACACACACACACACACACACACACACACACACACACACACACACACACACACACACACACACACACACACACACACACACACACACACACACACACACACACACACACACACACACACACACACACACACACACACACACACACACACACACACACACACACACACGCGCGCGCGCGCACGTACGCGCTCGAATGGGCATGCGCATGCAATGGCACACGCGCACGCACGCACCTGCGCCCGCGCCGGCACCGGCACCCGCGCACGCGCACGCACACGCGCATGCAGATGCACTCGCGCATGTGCACGAACACGCGCTCGCGCACTTACACGCACATGCTTACGCGCACGCACGCACACACGCACGCACGCGCGCACACGCGCGCGCCGGGACTCGCACCCACCCACCCACACACACACACACGCACGCACTCACCCACCCACCCACCCACCCACCCACCCACCCACGCATGCACGCACGCCCGCCCGCCCGCCCGCCCGCCCGCCCGCCCGCCCCGCACGCACGCACGCACGCACGCACGCACGCACGGGCGCACGCACGGGCGCACGCACGGGCGCACGCACGGGCACACGCACGGGCACACGCACCCACACAAACGCACGCCCGCACACGCACGGGCACACGCACCCACCCGCACAGACGCACTCACGCGTTGCTTTCATTTCCTAAGCCAGGGGGACTACTGTATTTTGGATGTCCATCAGACAACATAGAAGTGATAATTGCTTTGCTTCAAATGCAGTGTTTTCAGGCTTGTTTCCATCACCCATGCGTTCAACCCAACTGCACCCAGTATGGTTTGCGCACCAGCCGAGAAAGCCTTTCATTCAGTTGCCCGGCGCGCAGACAGTGCAACAGGTTGACCAAGTGAGCGACATTCTAAAACCCCTGCACTTGAAAGTGGTATGCGGGAGGAAATGTCGTTTTCAAAGTGTTGATGTTTGCCAGGGCGCGGAAGCGCCGCGCAAGGTTCGCAGAATGGGTTTCTCATTTATTATGTACTCGCGGAAGCTTCGCGGAGGGCTACGGTTCAATCACGAAAGCAAGGAATTGTAGTTTTCCTTCACGCGCGGAAGCGAAAACAAACTTCAATCCGAAGCGACGCGGAAGCGACGCGGAAGTGACGCGGAAGTGACGCGGAAGCGACGCGGAAGCGATTCCTTCTTCAAAGCCTCTTGCGGAAGGAACTTTTCATGCTGCGCAAGCTCCGCGGAAGCCTTCGCGGAAGGGATTTGATATTTCTCTTTGGCCGCAGCTGGGTTTAGAACACTGCTCGAGTGCAAATCCCTAACAGGGTGAAACCAGATTGCTATTGAGCAGGAAGAGCTCTGGGCTGTTCGGCCATTCCAGAAGGTATTGAGAACACAGTTGAGCTCTTTGCTTGCATTATCGGTCCAGTGGAGAATCAGCTGTTTTTGCGGGACGTTGAGCCAAGATGCGCACATCCTGATCTTGAACAATGCCAAGTACGGCGATGAACTGGGTCAATTGCCTTCCGGCCTCGTTTGCGGTGGCTGAACTATGAAGTCCTTGTCAAGTGCCTTGTGGGCCTGGGGCGCTACGCCTCGGGTCCAGGTCCGAGGACCAGATCCTTGCTGGGCCAGCGGTGCTGAGCGAGAGCCCCAGGATCCTTGTGCGAGGCAGGCGAGGTCTCAGTCCGAGGTCAGCTGCTGCGGCATTCCTTGGGCCTGGACGGTCTGGAATGAAGTTGAAGATTCGCTGCCCAAAGCCTGGCGAGCGTGCAGAAGCTGAAGCTGTAGCTGATGCCAGTCGGTGAAGCCTCAGCGTTCCGCTACAAACAAGAAATGCTGCACTTGGTGGACCTGACTTTTGGCCGACCTGACTTTGACGTGCCACGGTGCAAGTTCCACGATGGGGATTGTCCTTGACAACCAGAAAGTGTTCTTTGAAGTGGTTCTTGGATCATTTTAAAGGATTGGGAGCTCTCCATACCTGGGCTTGATAGCAGCTCCTTCTACATGAGTGCTGCCTTGCTTGCAGGGAGGAGGAGCGAGTCGGAGATGCAGAAGAAGCACCACCAGCGGACAGCTCGGGCAGGGCTGAGATTCACGCTGGCCTCAAAGCATGGCTGACCCGAACAATCAGGATGGGTCTTGCTTCCGCTTTCACCCGGTCTTGTTAAAATATGAAGGCGTGCTCAGGCTCTGCACGAGGCGGGAGCTACGGACTCCTGCAGTTGGATCGCGGTCTGTAGATGGCCATGGTGAATCACTCTTTTCCTGCACAAGTTGGACTACGGCTCATTGATGCAACGCGCTGCGTGCACGCGCGCTTATGCCCCTGCGCACATGCTGGTCACAGCCGTAAACGCAACTGTGAAGTGCGCTCAGCACTGTGTTTAGGCCTGCCAAATGGCAAGCGCCACGTTGCTGATAGGCAATTGGTTTCTGATCTCATTTACCAGTGGAGGGGTATTTACGTTAGGATTTTTTTTTCGATTTTTTTTCGCTTTTGGCTTCTTGGCTTCGTGGCTGTTTGGCTTCTTGCCTGTTTGGCTTCTTGGCTTCTTGGCTTCTTGGCTTCTTGGCTTCTTGGCTTTTCGGCTTCTTGGCTTCTTGGCTTTTCGGCTTCTTGGCTTCTCGGCTGCTGGGCTTCTGGGCTTCTTGGCTTCTTGGCTTCTTGGCTTCTTGGCTTCTTGGCTTTTCGGCTTCTTGGCTTCTTGGCTTCTTGGCTTGTCGGCTGCTGGGCTTCTGAGCTTCTTGGCTTCTTGGCTTCTTGGCTTTTCGGCTTCTTGGCTTCTTGGCTTCTTGGCTTTTCGGCTCTTGGCTTTTCGGCTTCTGGGCTTCTGGGCTTTTCGGCATTTTGCTGGTTTATGCGGCTTTTGGTGGCTTTTTGGCGTTTTGGCCTTGGCTTCCTGCATCCTCAGCATCGCAAGTTCCTCTCTGCCCCCCGCCCCCCTTTCGATCACAATACACGCCTAATTGATGATTCAAATTGGGTGGTGGTGACGCTGATGATGAGGGAAGCCAAATCCCAAAACCAATAGCCAAAAAGCCCGAAGGATGCGAAAAGCCCAAGCCGCCAAAAGCCGCCCATAAACCAGCGAAATTAGGGCCAACCAAAAAACAAAAACAGCGGGGGGGTTGGGGGGGGCGGCAGCCCCTCCGATGATGATTGAAAAAGTGGATCGAAAAATTAGGGGCAAAGAATTTAAAAAGTAGCCACTTCTTCCGACATCATGGGGCGGAACCCCCCCCAACCCACCCGCTACTGTTTAGATTGTTTGCAGAGTAATTGCACCCCTATTTGAATCAACTCTTCTTCAAACATCATGCGGGGACGGGGGTTGCCGCCTCCCCCCCCGTTACTTTTTAGATTTCTTGCAGAGATTAAATGCTGCAAAGTACGACATTTTAGGTAATCTGTGTAATCCATGTATGTTTGTATGTATGCATTTCTTCGAACATGATAGGGGAAGCCACCCCCGCCAACCCTCCCGCTGCCTTTTAAATTCTATCACACCCTTTCTTGAATCATTGCACCCCTACTTGAATCATCACTTGAGCCACAATCAAACCCGGGTAGATGAAGGTTAGTAAGGGACGATCCCACCCATAAATAGCTGCGGCCGCCTTCTTAATTCTGTACATGCCCCCGCTACGTTGTAGATTTTCTACAGAGATTTAATTAATTGCACCCCTAGTTGAATCATCAATTCTTCGAACATCATGGGGGGGGGCTGCAGCCCCCCCCAACCCCCGCTACTTTTTAGACTTTTTGCAGAGATTTAATTGCACCGCGTTTTTTTTACAGGGATTGAAATGCCCTCCTCTTGAATCATCATTTCTTTGACCCCGTCACACGATTTGTTGATGATGTTCGAAGAAATGCATACATACAGACATACATGGATTCAGATTACCTAAAATGTTGTATTTTGCAGCATTTTCTCGCGAAGCTGACGCATGTTACACTAGCCCGTCAACATCCCCAGCATCGTTTTTAACATCCCCCGCATGTCCGACCAACATCCCTAGCATCACAGGGGAAGCCACCCCCGCCAACCCTCCCGCTGCCTTTTAAATTCTATCACACCCTTTCTTGAATCATTGCACCCCTTCACTTCTTCCGACATCATGGGGGGCTGCCGCCCCCCCAACCCCCCGCTACGTTTTAGATGTTCTACAGAGATTTAATTAATTGCACCCCTAGTTGAATCATCAATTCTTCGAACATCATGGGGGGGGGCTGCCCCCCCCCCCAGCCCCGGCTAGTTTTTAGACTTTTGTGCAGAGATTTAATTGCACCCCTATTCGAATCATCACTTCTGCGACCATCATGGGGAGGGCTGCCGCCCCCCCCCCCCCCCACCCCAATTGCTCTTTTTGTTTTTGTTTTTTGTTTTTTGCTGGGATTGAAATGCCCTCCTGTTTGTACTTGTTGGATTTTGTTACCCACGATTTGTTGGTGATGCTAGGGATGTTGGTCAGACATGCGGGGGATGTTGAAAACGATGCTGGGGATGTTGACGGGTTAGCGTAAAATGCGTCAATTTCGCGAGGAAAAAAAAACCAAAAAACACCGAAAAACAATTCCCAAAATAAATCCGCACCCTTTAACAGTGGTGCGTGTTCCAAAGCTGTCAGCGAACAGCTTCAGGGCAAGCTTTGAGGCTTTGCTGAGGAAAGAACTTGGCGCTTCCCTCCCCTTAGGTTTCTACCTTCCATTTTACTCACGAGTTAGTCTTTGGGAAGGGGATCTGACAGCCCGGGGAATGCAAAGCACAAGCTTGGTGCGGAGTTTTTTGCGAAACGCACATCGAGCAAAAAAGTTTATGCGAACCGCATTGTGATAAGACCGAGCGATTTGCGCGCGTGACAACATGCTACAAAACACCACGGCCGGCTAGAGACCGTATTCCTAGTCCAGTAGTTTGTAGCTTGCGGGGGTTGAGCAATATGCCTAAGGCCGATCTACCCCTCAGCGCCGAGGAGCAAGCTCGGTGAGAACCTTGGAGCTTGGGTTGCATATCACCTTGGATTCCGAGCTCAGGTTGCAAGTTCTTGCAGAACTTGACAGATGTCAGATGCCGGCTGTCAAGAAGGACTCCACCATCCATTCCAATGCTTTGCAAATGCTGTCTCTGTGGGCTTCAGGACGGCAGCATCCAGAAAACCATTGAACATTACGCATTTGCGGATGCTGTTGACACCGCCACAATTATCGTGGAGGTTGACAAGGACTCAAGTTCATCTCACCTAGACTTGTATACCTGAACTGTGCTAGGATCTGTTTGATGGCGCTTCCAAGCATGTTGCGGAGGAGCAGATAGAGGTCGGATAGATCTTACGCCGCCATTGGTTGTTTGGATGTTAGAGTTGCCGAGAAGCAAGATGATCTGCGGGCGCAAGGTTGTAAGCAAAGACAATGAGCTGACAGTGATCCTCCACGGGGTCCCCACTACAAAAACGGCCAGCCTCACATGTGCAAGCCATGTGACTGTGTGAGTATGGCACGTGCAAGAGTCGCCTCAATTTCTGTAAGCCAGTTGTCAATGCTTCACATGCAGTCCGCGGAGTTGACCTAGGCAGACGCTGTTGCGGATTGGACCCTGCGGCTGTCTCCTCTCTGCCACAGCGCCGCCTTGATGCACTCAGACCCAACCTGCCAAGCCTGCCAAGCCTGCCATGGAATGTGGCTAAGGTGGAGCCCGTGCCTTAAGCGAGGGAACCAGTCAGGCTGTTTGTGCACAAACAAAATACGTTGCTAGCCCGCAGGTCAGGGAGAACAACTTGGAAAGTGCGAAAGGGCAAAGTGTCCGTGAAGCTTCTCAGTTGCAATCTTGCCCAAGCTGACAAGTAGCATGGCTACTGTCATGCTTGCCGGCCTTGGGTGTGCGATGTGTTTTGTTGGGCAACACTGTGCTGTCCTATTCCAGGCTGGCCAAGAGGAAGCCACAAGAATGGAAGCGAGCTGTCAAAGTTTGATGGGCAAGCTGAAGTTTCCAACTTCATTTTACTGTACAAAAGAGTGCTGCAAGCACTGAGTGTCAGCAAGCTTCCTGTACAAATCTTATGCTTATGAAGCGAAAGACAGCTTCCCTGGCCGAAACCAGTGCCTCAGTCAAAATATGCAACAAAGCTTCCACAGCCATACTTTCTACCAATGACCAACGCCAGAGCCCAAGCACATGCCCAACCCATGCGAGCGAATTACGAACGATGAGGGAATGGTTACGCCACACAAGCAGCCACTGACACAGAATCCCACATGCAGACTGCACCGGAGTGAAATGCAGAGGCGCACGAAGATTAGTGATGCATTCATGGTCGCCTGACAGAAGATGAAATGTGGAGATGGACAAAAGCGACGAAAGATTGAAAGCTGCTTGACGGTCATTTGGCTGAACAGAGTGCAGCGCTTATTCAAAAATGGCCAGCTTCCGCGGCCGAGCCTGGAATTAAGGCGGAGGCAGGAAGTGACTCGTTTACGAACTTTCCTCCAAAGTGAATGGGAAGCTTACAGCGATGGCGAAGCTTTGCCGAGAGAGGCATTCAACCGTTGGCTGATGGAACGCCTGAATGCTGGAGGAATAGACCCGATTTTGGGTGGTGGTGGAGACGAGGAGTTGTTGAGGGCAGCTGCAGATGGCCTGCACCGAGAGATTTTGAGAGCTCTCAGGGACACGTCGGACATGTCAGAGATGTCGAGCAAAGTTTGGGGCACCTGTTCGAGATTGGCGGCCGAAGCGGACGCAGCTGCAGTGAGGCTTCAAGCGAGCGCGACACAGGATACCCCGGAGACCCCCAGAGTGTTGGCCACGCTGAATGCGCCACGGGCTTGTTACGAATTTCGTTTGGAGACCAGGGAGGATCGCTCTGCGTCTGAGAATGTGGAGCCCGACGAGCACGAGACAATAGGAAGTCATGTCTTCACCATCAGCCCGTCTGCTCTCTCTCAGCTTGCGCAGCCCGTGCAGGTTTTGAGGGTTCAGCATCAAGCAGCACTGCTGGAAGTGACAGAGACATACAGACAGACAGACAGACAGACAGACAGACAGACAGACAGACAGACAGACAGACAGACAGACAGACAGACAGACAGACAGACAGACAGACAGACAGACAGACAGACAGACAGACAGACAGACAGACAGACACAGACAGACAGACAGACAGACAGACAGACAGAGACAGAGACAGAGACAGAGACAGAGACAGAGACAGAGACAGAGACAGAGACAGAGACAGAGACAGAGACAGAGACAGAGACAGAGACAGAGACAGAGACAGAGACAGAGACAGAGACAGAGACAGAGACAGAGACAGAGACAGAGACAGAGACAGAGACAGAGACAGAGACAGAGACAGAGACAGAGACAGAGACAGAGACAGAGACAGAGACAGAGACAGAGACAGAGACAGAGACAGACAGACACAGACAGACAGACAGAGACAGACAGACAGACAGACAGACAGACAGACAGACAGACAGACAGACAGACAGACAGACAGACAGACAGACAGACAGACAGACACAGGCAGGCAGGCAGGCAGGCAGGCAGGCAGGCAGCAGACAGACAGACAGACAGACAGACAGACAGACAGAGACAGAGACAGAGACAGAGACAGAGACAGAGACAGAGACAGAGACAGACAGACAGCCAGACAGCCAGACAGACAGACAGACAGACAGACAGACAGACAGACAGACAGACAGACAGACAGACAGACAGACAGACAGACAGACGCGCTACAGACAGGGTCCAGCTACTTCGCAGCAGCAAGTCCTTCATCGGCTTTTTTTGGGCTGTTGGCTCAAGTTACTCGGAGGCTGAAGTGCATATTTCTTCGCAGAAAGCAAACATGTCTTATCACATTTGATTTGATGGTTCATACCACTGCTCGAAGTATGTGCAGTGGCACACAGACATTGCGATGAGTGTCCCAGAGCGTGTGCCATGTTGGCGTGGCTGAGCTTTGGTCTGGCCGCTTTGGCCGCTGGAACCGAAGAAACCGGAGAAACCGGATTTGAATGGAGAGATCGCTGCACCATCCGCCGCATCCACTGGACCGAGCGCTTACCACTCCCGGAGGAGCCCTACGTGGTGGAGGCTCCCGTCGGATGGAATCAGCGAATGGCAGGGAGCCTCAAAAAGAGCGCGCTCTTGAAGTCCATGGGTCATGTCACTTGCACGCCTTCGCAAGCTGGGAGCAAGCGGATTGGCCTCTTCAAGATGTCCCTGGCCGAGTATTTGACCGAATGGCTGCCAAGGCCCGTCAGCCGAAATGCGGAGGAGAACCGATACGTCTTCGGGGAGTTCGGCGAGCAGTGGGAGCCGCTGCGCAACAGCTACGTGCTGCCTCCCTGCGAGGCGTGCTCTCCCCAGGCCGCGGCAATCACCATCGGCCTGGGTGGAGAGCACTCGGGGGCGCCTTGGCACTTCCATAACTCCGCCTTCGTGGAGGTCTTCAGCGGCGCCAAACACTTCGCCTTTCTGCCCCCAGGAGATCCGGCAATTGCAGAGATCGATAAGGTCATGCAGTTCAATGCTTCCATGTCCCAGTTCCACTGGCACACTGAGCAGAGGCCACTGCTAGAACAGGCCGGAAAGCTGCAAAGGCTACAAGAGTGCTTGATCAAGCCCGGGGAGATTCTTTATTTTCCTGATGCCTGGCATCATGGTGTTGTGAATTTTGGCGAATATACAGCATTTGTGAGCAGTTTCATCAACAAAGATTTGCTGAAACAGAAAGAGGTGGCGCCAGCCTCATACAAAGACTGGCCATTGGCAATAACGTCGGGCCGGAATGAGTGAGGGATGGAAAATCGGCAAAATCAGCAGCCGTGCAGCATGATGCGTTGTGTACCTTGCCGGACCCCAGCTATGACTGGAGTCTATCTCCCTGGATGCCAGGAAGCTGATGAGAAAGGCAGCGAGGCGGGCGGAGCTTGCTTTCTCGGCAGGCCGGTTCACACGGCAGGGTATCCTGTGCGCATGCCCCTTTGAGTAGGCCATTGAGATGTTTCTAAACCTGTTTGGCTGCAACGGGCACTTGTACATCGTATTGATTTGCACATCCATTGTCCGCTTTGCAAGAGAGCTACGTTTTGTTTGCAGTGCATCTTGAAACGATGTAATCAGCAGTCGGTCCAGGATTCCGTTTGGCCAGAAAGCATCGTCACTGATCTAGCTTTACATTCGCCAATGGTATTCGTAAGCAACACATCAAATTGCATATTCATGCCTTGTTGCTGTCGTTCCAAGTTCTTTAGCGCTTGCTGTACAACTGTCTCTACACCGACAAGCTAATCGGTCAACACCATGTTCCCCAACAGCTGAAAGCTTTGGGGTCTCAGCCCAGATAGGCTCCGGGGTGGTTCGGGGCGACCCTGAGCTAAGGTTCCACCAGGGTTCCACCAGGGGTTCCACCAGGGTTCCACCAGGGTTCCACCAGGGTTCCACCAGGTTTCCACCAGATTTCCACCAGGGTTCCACCAGGGTTCCACCAGGTTCTGCAAGGGCGGGGTGGTCTGAGGTGGTTTGAGGTAAGGTTCCACAAGGGTTCCACCAGGGTTCCACCAACTGCGAAGGTTTCACGAGGGTTCCGCGAGGGTTCACCAGGGTTCCAGGCTGCGGGGTGGTCTGGGTGGTTTGAGGTAAGGTTCCACGAGGGTTCCAGGGCTGCAGGGTGGTCCGGGATGGTTTGAGGTAAGGTTCCACGAGGGTTCCACCAGGGTTCCAGCAATTTCTTCGAGGGCTGGGGTGGTCTGGTTTGAGGAAGGTTCCACAAGGGTTCCACCAGATTTCCACCAGGATTCTGCAGGGTTTCACCAGGTTCTGCGAGGGCTGCAGGGTGGTCCGAGGTGGTTTGAGGTGAGGTTCCACGAGGGTTCCGCCAGGTTTCCACCAAGGGTTCCACCAGCCCGTCGTGCTCCGGACGAGAGGGTTCCACCAAGTTCTTCAAGGGTGCGGCGTGGTCCGGGGAAGGTTCCACGAGGGTTCCACCAGGGTTTCGCCAGGGTTCCACCAGCGGTCCGGGCTGGTTTGAGGTAATGTTCCATGAGAATTCCACCAGAATTCCACCAGGTTTTGCAAGGTAAGGTTCCATTCCAGCACAGTTCTAGCAGGGTCCCACGAGGTTCTGCAAGGGCTGCGGGGTGGTCCGGGGTGGTTTGCGGCAAGGTTGTATGAGGGTTTCAGGGTTCCACAAGATTCTGCGAGGGCTGTCAGGGTTCCACAAAGCTCTGCAAGGATTCCACACGGGTTCCACACGGGTTCCACACGGGTTCCACAATGCTCCACCAAAAGTGTGTCGTGCGCCCGTCGTCTGAAAAGCCATCGGATCAAGATCGCTTTGCTCATGGGCGGAACACTAAGCAAAACCGAAATCAATGGATTTTAGCGCACTTTCACTGTTTTGTGACTTGCTCACTTGCTCAGGCAAATCAGATCACGTCGCTGCGGAACTCACGGTGCAGCAGAGTAAATGCTTGGCATTGCTGCTTGGTGGGCTTGGGGTTCCAAGAATTCCACGAGGCTGCGAGGGCTATGAGGTCAAACACCAAATTCTGCAAAAGCTATGGGGCAGCCCTGAGGAAAGGTTCCAGCAAAGTTTCACGCTGAGCTCCACGAAAGTTGCGTGAGAACGGTTTGGGTCGGGGCCCGATTGCACTGTCGCCTTTGGGCCCGATCGACCCCCATTGCGCCATCGCGTTCGATCGGGGCCCGCCTCAGTCGGGCCCCGTCAATTGTACCAAGCTGACATCGCCTAGTTTTGCTATAGATACAGTTGCAAATCCGCATACTAAGGAAAACCGGCGTTGAGCTATAATATGGGTGGCTGGGGTTGCACCACGGGACGATCGGGGCCCGATTGCACTGTCGGGCCCCGATCGGGCCCCCATTGCGCCGTCGGGCCCCGATCGGGCCCCGATTGCACCGTCGGGCCCCGATCGGGCCCCCATTGCGCCGTCGGGCCTCGATCGGGCCCCGATTGCGCCGTCGGGCCCCGATCGGGGCCCGACTCAGTCGGGCCCCGTCAATTGTACCACGCTGTCGTCGCCTAGTTTTGCTATAGATGCAGTTGCCTTCCGCATGCCAAGGGTCACCGGCGTTGAGCTATAGTATGGGTGGCTGGGGTTGCACCACGGGACGATCGGGGCCCGATTGCATTGTCGGGCCCCGATCGGGCCCCGATTGCACCGTCGGGCCCCAATCATTGTGCCGTCAGGCCCCGATCAGGGCGAGATTGCGCTGTCACTCGTGGCTTTGCTTTACAAGGCGGCATTGTCAGCAACACCGGCGGTAAGGATGGTCCCGGGGCGTTCCGCGAGGATTCTGGGAGTTGTTTGTTCTTTTTCCCCAACAGCTGCAGGGTTCCACCAGGGTTCCACCAGGGTTCCACCAGGGTTCCACCAGGGTTCCACATGCTGTTGGGGATATCGGCTGAGCCTATTTTTTCCTTTATACGGTTTGTTTTTCCATAGCATATCAATTTTCCTTGGAACTTGAGCAAACTAAACAAGTCTCTTGGCATGTTATTGCCTCGGCTGTATCCGTTAGCCTGCGGATGACAATGCTGAAGGGATAACCTGATTCCTTACGCAATGCTGATATTTGTTTTTAAAGGTGTGGTCAAGCTGCAATAGCCTCGAGGCTGCGGCTTGAGTCCGCTCTTGTGCGAATCATATATCCAGAGTCCCTGAGGTGAAAGCCAGTGGGCAGCCAAGCTGGGCGCCTTCATGCAGAGCGATTCGAGCTTTTGGGACCTGACCTTTTGTCTGCTATGCCGCTATGATGCCATGAGCGGCGGTCCGGGCGCACAGGGCGCTGGCTTTCATGCCGCGATCCCACCACCTGCATTCGAAGCCTTGGAAAAGATGAACCCCGGCGCGGCAGTCAAGCTGGAATGCTTTGCATCGCCACTCTTGTGTCATGGGAGCTGGAGTTACTGCTCGGCCTTCCGGGACGTGGATGTCCTTTTTGGTTCCCTCGGGCCGTTTCTGGATGAGGATATCGACATAGGCAAGCTTGGCGGTGTCTACGAGATCAACCCTCCGTTCGTGCGGGGCGTTGTTTTGCGGCTTGCTCGCAAGCTGCTGGCTGCGCTTAGGAAGGCGCAAGCCGAGGACAGGGCGCTTTGCCTCTTCCTCGTGTTGCCGGGCCTGGCTCAGCACTCCACTTTGTCCTCTTTGTCCACTTCGTCCACTTCGTCCACTTGCCCTTCCATCCCTTCCGATGCCTTGGACGAGCTGCTGCAGAGTGGCTTCCGCACGGCCTTCTCGGGGCCGACATGCCGGGCCTTCACCAGTGGCTGGGCCTTCAAGACGGAGCGCCGGTGGCCGGTCTTCGCGGTGCCCACCTCGCTGGCCCTCTTCCACGCCGGAGCACCCGAAGCAGAACCCGACTTCGAGCGCGCCTGCGCAGCCTGGGGCCAAGTAGAGCAAGACGCTGACACAAAAAAGAGCAGCCAAGCGCACGAGTTTACGAGTTTGGGGCCGAACCAGCTGCCAGAAATCATCAGCTGCCAGCACCATTGCAGCCGGCTTGCGAAGGCTCAAGATGAGGTGTAGGCAGGCACAATGGCAGCCAAGCCGTTTCGAGCAGTGATTTCTAATGACGAAATGGAGGTCTGCATAAAAAAAAAAACTGCCACGGGACTGTCCCTGTCACAATGTGATATCAGCGGAGGTAGCAGAAAAGCGCGTAGATATCTTCATGCGAGATTCCGAAGGGCAACTGGCTATCAGGGCATTCCGTGGCATGGAATGGATCCAAGCCGTATGCCGGCTGCTGCAAACCATTTCCAGCCAGGTGCGGTCCTGCAATCAAATGCCCCAGAAGAAAGCACTGCCATTGATTTCAGACACTTGTACGACTAAATGTCCGATGGCCTTTAATTATCTTGGGGAAATATGGTCTTTGAAAACGACACAATTTCGATCATAGCTCGGTGAGAGCCGCCACCGAATTAGACTGGAGGGGCGACACCGGCAGCTGTCATGCGGATTTCAGGAACATGACCGTTCATGTACTGAGAGGTTGTGTTGACGTCAAGTGCTTGAAGTGCTTGAAGTGCTTGACCAAGTTCTCTCAAGTTCTCTCCGCAATGGGTGGGGTGGGAGGGCCCGTGGAAGTCTTCACGTTGTAATAAAACAAAATCAGAACATGCGCGCACATGCCACTTCCTTCCCGCAGACCATTGGGCACATCCAGGCACACGTATTTTCATGTAGGCGTCTAACGTGGCTTCTATTCGTTGGGCTGTGTATGTCACTGGGACGCATAAACCATTCGTATGGAAACATTGCAAGCCGAACATCCCGGGTCACCTCACAGAGTATGTCAGTTGCTGTCACAGGTTGCGTAGCAAGACTTGTCAAGACGTGTCTATGGACGCAGGGATTTTGTCTTTGCAGTTCTTGACGCCTTCAACTACAATGCAGGCTCCCGGAAATGCAACAGGTGCGCCAAGGCCAAGGAGTATTTGCTTCAAACTTGCGTCACGGATTTTCAGGGGGCAACATGTTTGAAAAAGATTGAGCCTTGGCAAAGCGAGCATATTTGTGGTCCTAACTGGACAACAAAGGGCCCTTTCTCGCACTTTGCAGGCGCACAAGTCATTTAATGTCATTTAATGAACAACAACAGATCGCAACGTTTTTTGCCGTGTTTGACTATCGTTCTCCCTTTCGCCTGAGACGAACAGACAGAACAGTGAATTGACCGTGGCTTTCCACAGAGAGCGCTCGGCTTTCTTTGTACCAGGCGTGGAAAAGCCGGGCACTCGACCAAATCGAGAGCATTAGCGTGGCCAGCTCCAGCGAGGTGCTGAGCATCCGCAGCGATAGCCCTGATCCCGAGGGACCCAAAGTACCCAAAGCCAACGGACCCAAAGGCAGAAAGGACCTCAGCCGACGTCACAAGGAACGTAGGGCTCAGGCCAAAGCAGCCAGGGCCGCAGAAAGGCAGCCTGATGATGACTCAGAGTGCGCGTCCAGATGCCGATGCTCACACTGCTCCCAGTCCGACTTGGGTGACCATGGTGACCTGCGTTTCTCCACGCAAGGCGTTTTGGTGGACGTCGAAGAGTTGCAGACCTGCCGGCGGCGGCACGTTCCAATCTCCAGTGCTGTGGCAACGCAGCTCACGGCCGGGATCCTGCCGGGGGACACCAGAGTTTTGAGGAGCGGCCGCCTGGCAAGACTCTCCTCCGCCAACTATGCATTGATGCGGCCCGGAGAGGCATCAGAGCGCGTGCTCACCTGCGGACGGGCCTTCTTCAATTTCTTGTTAAAGCGGTGGCAACCTATGACGCGACTTGTGGCCTACATGCCAGGGCGGCATGTGTTGTACTGTGCGTTTACCCGCAAGGAAGACGCTTTGTTCATCAAAGTCGGTTACCGAACTCTCAATGGCAAGCGGGAGTCCATTGTCAACTACATTGAGAAGAAGACAGCAAAGCTGCGCCTCACCAACGTTAGCGGTGCCGGACTGTTTATTATGCACTTGCCACAGAACCATGCATGCTTCAAAGATCCTGCACGGGCTGCAGAAGAATCCTTGAAGCTGGCGATTCGCAGTAGCGAGCAGTTGCAAGCAAGTCCATCCGGCCACCATGGTGAGATCGGAACGTTCAGCAGTTCTTTGGAGTACTATTTCGTGAAAGCTCAGCAGGGAGCAGTGTTGCCTGCGTTGACATCAGTGCTTCGTGACTTCACGGGCGACCAGAGCTTGGTCCCTCTGAGATGCGTCGCCGCACTCAGGCGAAAGCGCTTGCTCGCTTGGGAAGCCGAGTCAGCGGCGGGCTCCTTGGGCTCCTTGGGCTCCTTGCCGCTGCTGCCCGCCGGCGTCATGCGCAGCCGTTGCTTCGGGCCCTTCTCCCGGCGCGCCTCGAAAAGACCAAAGTCATTGCCGCCGAAGCGGCGACGGGTTCGGTCGTGTCCATAGTGGCTCGAAATTGTCTCCGAGTAGGTGGACAACATGGCCAAAACTTGTGGTGTTTGTTGGCGTCGTTGTCCCTCATTTTGAGCCAAAAAAGCCGGCTGCGACTTAGCTTGCAAGTCTCAGAATTTGATCCGAGCGCTCTTCCTGTTGCTTGGGAAATTCGCGAACTGTTGGCAGCAAGGTCTCCCCCATGGCAGCAGGTCTCCCAAGATAACGCTGGAAAAATGGCCCGCATTTGCGCTGGTTGTCTAGTCATTTGGTCTGAAGCATATAAGCAGGAGGCGACACAATCTGAGGATGAAGCAGTGCTCAAGCTTTTGCGGGGCTTATCCGTGGCATGGTGGCAAAGATCTACTTTGGAGGCAGATCGCTTTGTATGACATTGGGAACTGCAGATTGACCGTTCTTCGTTTCTGGTGTCGGCCTTGACTAACTGGGCTGTTCATGTTTTCAGGCAAAAGCAGGCTGAGTTGTACGCAGCCGGCTGGTCATCAGTGAAAGCAGACCTGGCATAACACACGTTCACATTGGTTGCTCAACGGAAACACCCCATTGCGTAAACACATGGCGCCCAACGTTGATGTTCGTTGTTCAAGGGCAACCTGCTGCAGTGAAAGCATATCAGTATGCTAGCAAGCAATTTCTTGCTCCGAGGAAACTTGGCATCGCTCAAAGGAAGTGGCGCCAGATGTTTTCTTTCATGTTTCAAGAGAAGCCTGCAGCAGTGAAGCCAACATGCCACCAACCGTTTGCGTTTCTTGCTCAAAGGAAACTTCGCATCAGAGCAAGCACATGGCACCACAAGGAAGACGCTACAGCAGTGTCTCCACATGGCGTCAAATGCTTTTATGCTCGTCGCTCAAAGAACAGAGTGCATAAATGTAAACAAATTACGCCCAATGTTCTCGTCGGGCAGGGAAACTTCGCAGCTGTGAAAGCACGCCACATTCGTCGAAGGCTTACGCTTGTCCTTCAAGGGGAGATGGGCCAGCACAAAAAATCGGCAAACTCAATGTTCAGTGTTTGAGGTATGCGTGGGCATGGTCAAATGCATCCGCAGAGCTGCGAGTGTAGCTGAGAATCGGAGGTCTTAGCGCAAGAAGCACAATGCAGCGGACAGTTGGAATGTCTTTGCGACAGACCGACATGCACAACCTGTCAACATCTTCTTGAATCAGATACACGTCCTCTCTGCACAAACAGTCAAGTACGCCACCTGATTCATTAGCCAGTCACCAACCAACCAACCAATCAAGCAAGCAAGCAAGTGCGCAAGCAAGCAAACAAGCCATCCAGCAAGCAAGCAAGCAATGCATCCCTTTGTCTCTCCATCCCTCCATCCCTCCTTCCCTCCTTCCCTCCTCCCCTCCTTCCCTCCTTCCCTCCTTCCCTCCTTCCCTCCTTCCCTCCTTCCCTCCTTCCCTTCTTCCCTCCTTCCCTCCTTCCCTTCTTCCCTCATTCCCTCCTTTCATCCGTCCGTCCGTCCCATCCCATCCCATCCCATCCCATCGCATCGCATCGCATCGCATCCCATCCCATCCCATCCCATCCCATCCGAGCCCCTTCCAGCAATCCATCCGTCCATCAATCCATCAATCCATCAATCCATCAATCCATCAATCGATCCATCGATCCATCGATCAATCAATCAATCAATCAATCAATCAATCAATCAATCAATCAATCAATCAATCAATCAATCAATTAATCAATCAATCAATCGATCACCAATGAGCCCACCAATCAAGCAACCTACAGTACAATCAATCTTGAGTCGCTCCAACCGGTTTCCTTTCCAGGCAGCTGACAAAGAGCAGCGCATTTCCACGGCATTTGAAGAGCAGATGCTGGGCAACCAGGTGGGGTGGGGGAAAACATGTCCGAGAGTCGTTGCTGTGACAGCCGGAAGTTTCCTAGTTGATGCTGTTTCTGTTGTGTTTAGACACGAGTTGCCAGACTCGCCTGCAGGATTTAGCCGGCACAAAATTCTTCAAGGCAACTCTTGGGCATCATACTTTGGACATGTGCCAAAGGACCCGATGCAACATAATCTTGATCATTGTGGCAACTACCAGGCTCCTGACACATCTGACTCTCCTGATGCTGACTCTGAATCCGAGCTGGAGCCCGCTGAGGACGCAGAGGGTTGAAAGGGGTATATTAAAAATGCAACAATTCAAAAGGCAGTCCTTCATTTGGGTCTCTGTCTTGGATTCACCCTGAGACCAACCATAAGCAGGGGGCAGCAGGGAGACCACAACCAGATTTCCGCCAAGACGCGTTCCAACCACACACACACAATGTAGCATCCATACATGCATACATACATACGCAATCATACGCATACGTATAGAGATGTGCATATGCAAGTACATATAAGACGCATGTGTTTTGGCGTAGGCCAAACTTGCATTGCAGGCGCTGCAGCGGCTCTTGGCAGACATCGCCCCCTGTGTCACCGCGTACCCGGTGCCCCGTTGGCAGGATCTGGCACGCGTGCTGTGCGGAGCGAGCTGGGGATTGATCAATCCAACAAGTTATCCTGCGCCACACAAATACTTTTGGAAACATGTGTCTGTCCTTACGGCTGCAAGTCAGCTGCCAGATGCAAAGGCCGCGCTGGCTCAGTCTACAGAACGTCAGCGGGCCAGAACCCCACTTTGCAGCACTTGCGAGGTGATCAGCATTCTGCCAAGGTTGATGGCAAGCCTGATCGCTGGACGCCACTGAAAGGGCAGCAGCTGGTTGTGAAGCCAGCCAATGAAGAGGACTCGACTTTGCTATCATAAGTTCTTGCGAATGCTGTAGATGGTGCAGCTGTGCAATTCGAAGCATGATGCATGACGTGCAGGATTGCGTGCTGCTGGTGGCGAATGCCCTCGTGACTCCAGAGTCGGATCGGGAGGCCGAATCATTCGTGGCGGAACCTTGTGCCTGTTGTTTGGCCGGTTTGAGAGCCGTATGTTGAGCAGTTGAGGAGTCTCATTGGCTCCTGAAGCGTGACGGCGCTTCAATCTCTGCACCCTTCTCTTCGTGCCTGGATGCAGAGAGGCAGACACCGCTTTGCAATCTATATAGATCACCAAGACTTTTGATTTGATAATTTGTTGAGTACTTGCCGGGATTGAAGATGTTAAAAGGAAATGGCGTTGCCCCACCTCGCGCCATACCATGCCCACCACACCCCACATCGCACGGACCAACAGCCCCGCCACAGACTCAAGCACACACGCACAGCTTATGGCAATGATGAATCCAGCCATGAGCCTTTCCTGGCCTAAATTGAGAGCGCTGAAAGTCTAAATTGATTGTAAACGATCAGTGCTTGCGAAGAAACGCACTGTCAGCATTCAGAGTTTGAAGGCGTTTGCTTGATTGTGAGGCTTTCCACTTGTAAACAATCACGCCAAGCAATGCTGTCGTAAGGTCACAGCGGGCAGTGCCATGTCAAGTCGTAACCACGTCAAGGCGGCAACTGTAGAGTCTTGTAGATCTTTCTGGCTTCGTAGAACTTAGTGAAGGGCGAAGGTAAATGCTGGGGATGCTGTTGCACATGACAGTTCTTTCCCCTTTTCGCGGTTGGAAAGCGCATTCGCGTTTGCCAACACTTGTGTTGGCATTGCTCCTGGAACTCCGAGGTATAGCAGGCAAAGATCCTGGATCCGATCTTAGCGTATTGCTTGGAAGACTCGGAAGAGAACTCGTCAGCAAAAAGTTCTGAGGAATCATCATGTGTGTATTCCCTGGCTGGACCAGCCGCTGAAACGAGCTGAACTCGACTATCAGGCGTTTTGTTTGAATCTGTAGGAAAGTGCCTTTGTCGTCATGTCAGGTGGTTGCAACAGCTGGCAGGCGGCGAGCCTCAGCGTTGCACGGCAAGAGCTTGTGAACCTGCCCAGGGATACCTCTCACTTTGTTGTGGGGGAGAAAAGGGAGCGCAGGCGGGTGCACTGCCTTGCAATTACACTCAGCACTGCTTCGCAGCTAGGCAGCTTTTTGGTGTCACCATACCTTGCCACCAGGTTGGGTCTCAAAGAACTTGACCCTTGGGCGCCTTCGGAGCCTTTGTCAGGTAGCCTGGGTCGAGGATGATGAAGTCCTTGGCCTTCCTCCCGGACCCTGGGTGGACGTAAATGGCTTGCACGAGGCGCGCTTCCCGGAAGTTGCTGCCATGCACGCAGCCCAATTGCCGCCGGTCCTTCTTTGGAACGTGGGTTGACAGGTCATTACCACCTTGCCTGGCGAGAGAGTGTTGGTGCTTTGTGCCATGCACTACGTTGCGAACTGGTCGAGCCGGCGCCCCGAATCACAAGCACGATTTGTTACATGGCGACAGCCCCTGTGAACGTGGAATAACTCAAGGCGAACTAAATCGAGGCCGCTTCACTCTTGTCCGCTTGAAGCTCAATGCACGAAGCCTGCTATCAAGCTTGTTTTAAATGCAACTCTGCTGTCCAGCACGACTCAGGCGACGACTTGGGACTTGATGGTCCTGCGGACTCTCGGCATGTTGGTGCAACCTAAGCTTTTTTTTGTTAAATTCAAAGCTGGGATCGTGGGATCGTGGGCGTCAGTGCGCAGTGCGTGCCAGGACCGTGGGCTTCAGTCCGTCAGAGCTCTGGGACCGAGCCAACCTCGTACGATGATCATGGCGCGCTCTGAGCGGTGCTCCGGAGGTGCTCCAAGAGAGGCTTTGCCACGTGAATCCTCAGGCCACACTGGATGAACCGCCACCCGGGCCTCATCTGTACCGCGCAAGAGCTGCGCTCACCACCGGTGAAGAGTCTATGACTCGGTGGTTTGGTATTTGTCGCTGCGGACGGCGTGGACGGCAGTCGAAATTCAGACACTCATGAGGCTAATGTTGACATGTTAGGCGGAACTGGAAGTGCATGCTGCAGCCACTGGCTCTGGACGCTGAATCCCCTTCCAAGCAACACTCAGTGTGAGCACAATGGATGCTGGCGGTGTGTCTTAGCTGGCACATGTATCTCTGGTTGCTTTTTGCCTACCAGTTTCTCTTCCCCAGCGCATTTAGCTTTAGCTGAGCCCCAGGTGAAGCTCGCAAAAGTGGAGAAAATCCTGGGCAGAACAGGATCTCGTGGCGGTGTCATCCAAGTGCGTGCCTAGATGGCAACTTCATAACTCTGGCATCCCTGCAGCCTTTTTCCGACTTCCGGCCAGGTGTCATGTTCATGACGGAGACTGCCCCTGAGCTTGCGGGCCGCTCCCTGATCCGGAACGTGAAGGGGCCTGTCCGTGAGGGTTGTGGCCCCAGCTCTGTGGCAGTGCGACATCAGACATGGCTCTGAATTTTGACATGATGTTGGACAACTCAAAAGGAAAGCCACAATTTGGAACGCCCCTAAAGTTCGGTCAGAGCCCAGGCGACATCCTGGCCCTTCTGGAGACCGAGCGTGAAGCACGCCGACTGCGCTGAGGCACAGGACCATAGATGTTGTTCGCCATTTGGGCGTGTTTCAAAATCGGAACCCTAATCTGGGTGGTTTTCCTTTTGGCCTGGCCATCCAAAAAGGGTACCCTCAAACAAGACACCCTTTGTTTCAGATGGACAGCTGGTTGGTTTGTGTCTCGAAGGACTAGACTCCAGGGTGCTGGTACTGTGGAAATCAGCCATCAGACGCGAAGTGCTGGAGGGATTTGGCAAAAGCGCGCTGCGGCGAGTTGGATTATTTTTGGATAGTCAGCTGGCAGAGTGAGCTGCAACATGTGCCAGAGGTCTGGAGTGTCGCTCACGCTCACCGGCGAGCGACAGCTGGCTGCTCAGATGGTGTGTCTGAGGAGGGGGGAATGGTACTTGTAGTGTCAATGTGCCAAGGCTGGCCTTGGTGCGCCTTCCGAGCAATCTCGTTATAGGGCCAGGGTCTCAATGAGGTATGAGGGGATTGGATGCGCTGGGCCTTCTGGAATGGTCTAGGCCAAGCCGACCAATTGAGCCTGTCGAGATCACCGAGGGCACGTGGACGGAGATACCAGGCATGTGTGCGACATGCACCCTGAGGAGCGAATGGGTGACAAGCACGCCGATACATCAAATCACTTACTGAAACGCGCCACCCAGGAGACCTAGAAATCGAGTGCTCTTGGTGTCAAACGCCTAGCTCCATGCAGCAATGTTCCTTGCAGGTTTGCTTCAAGGATTTGCATCTCAAATTGCCAGAGATAGAGACAGAGCGTGGCTAAGTGTCAGGTATCACATTGATTGCAATCCTCTGAGCTTCCACTACGAGGCCCACTTCACTATTTTCCGGAGAAAGGACCGGGAAGACATGAGTGGCGTTCAAGCCTTTTCTCTTTGCTGCGAGCGTCCACAGGAGTCTGCAGTATCCTCGGACCAGAACCTTGGCTTCTCCGAGGACGTTGCGAAGTGCACTGTGCAGATTCAACAAACATGATATTGGTGCATAGAACTCGCATCCCCTTTGCTTGCTTGCAGGATTTCGGACTAGACATGGCGACTTGGACTGCACCTCATGTCATACTGCCAAAGCTTGCCCGAAGCCGGCCACAGCTTGACATGAAGCTGAGGTCTTCTCTGATTATGGAGCTTCGAGTGAAAGTCCAGTCGGCCTTCTAATGGACACCCCAGGATCACAAGGCTGATGTTGTTCTGGAGCCGGATGCCGAGCCTGCTTGCCAACAGGTCCGTGGACATACTACTTGGCAGCGCGGGTGGCCAACCTTGGCACCAGCAGAGAGAACCCACCAGTGGTTGTGGGGTATTCTGGGTCCATCTCAGCCGTCATTCTGCCAGCGAGATGAAAGAGGGCTTCATGCGCTGGCTGGCTGGCTGGCTGGCTGGCTGGCTGGCTGGCTGGCTAGCTGGGATTGAAGGGCAGTGCAAGTCGCTGGATACGGCCGCCTTGCAGCTCAAATCCATCCTGTGAGCCCCTAGGGTTCTGGCAGGTGAGCCTTGCGTGCTTTGGCTTCACGCACATTCCTTGAGTTTTGTTTGCAATGTGCTCGTCGCTCATCACAGGATGCGGTCTTGCGAAGCTGCGGTCGGCGCCTGGACCCCGGCGGATTGCATTTGCAGGGAGCATCCGGACTTGGGACTTGCATGAATATCGTGAAATGAAGGGTGACCTTTTCAAAGATGATTCAGGGTGCCCATGGCGGCTCATAGCGCTGGATTTGGAAGAACCACCCTGGCTCGGGCAATGAGGTGGCACTGGGCACGGCCCTGGTATGGCTCAGCGGCAGCGCCTTCAGCCTCGGTGCGCCTGCTGCGGGTCCATTGGAATCTGTGGAGTTTGAAGTTCGATGCCAGGTTCGCTGCCAACTGCGCAGCTATGACCTCACTTGTCTCAAAAGGAGCGTGAGCTTTGAACGTACCAGGGTTCCGGGCCCCTGACTTGTGCCCAGCCAGGTGACAGTGTGATTAGAAAAATCCAGCGCCGATACGCCTGAGGCAGCTTGGACTGCGGTCAGGCTTTCAGCCTCCGGCAGCGCAGATCGCAGGCTTTGGCGCTGCGCCATGGCTACCGGCCTCTTGTTTGTTGGGCTGCAAGGCACTGACGGCCAGTTTGCCGGCAGCTCGTCCTTTCCCCAGTGGCCTCACTCGTACTTTGCACTTATCTTCATCACTCCAGGTCCGGCTTGTCTGGCGTTGCATCTCCTGGATGTGCTCTCGGAGCTTTACTTAGAGGGTGCCACAGAAAAGTAGCACAGCCATTCCCTGGACCAAGCTCAGGAGTCGCTTCTCTGATCGCGTCCGGGCCCCGATCGATTAAGTGCGGACGGGTGCAAAGGCAATTTTTTCCGCTCATTTGGAGACTCGCACTGAGCAGCCGCCAAGGATGTGCACCAAAGCCAGGTGGGCTCGCAAGCATCGCCAGCGCTGGCGTAAGGCTGCCGGCCACTAAGACCTCGTTTGCGAGTGCTGCTGGCCAGATACAGACAAGGACAGCTCAAGCTTACAAGGGATGAACTTTCAATCAACAGCATACAGTATACAAGTAACGAAATGTCCTATAATGACATGTAATGTAATGTAACTCAATGTACCATTACTTAGTGTAATGACATGTAAAGTAACGTTTCTCTGCGTGTGTGTGTGTGTGTGTGTGTTTGCACGCATGTATATAATTCATGCCATGCAACGCAACGCAACGCAACGCAATGCAATGCAATGCGATGCACTGTAATGTCGCGTTAAATTCTTTGCGTTGCATTGAGTACGTTTGTACCGAAGCACAATGAAATGTATTCTATGTGTGTGCGCACATGTATGTAGCGGAGTGCGACTCAAGTGATGTAATGTCATATCATATCATGCAATATGTACGGCATGGCATGGCAGGCATGGCAGGCATGGCATGGCATGGCATAACATTTGTGTATCTAGGTATGTATGTAGGTATGTATGTATGTCTTTGATGTGATGTGATGTAGTGTTAATGCAAATGTATGTATGGATGTAATGTATGTATGTATGTATGTAGGTAGGTAGGTATGTATGTATGTATGTCTGTGATGTGATGTGATGTAGTCTTAATGCGTATGTATGTATGTATGTATGTATGTATGTATGTATGTATGTATGTATGTATGTATGTATGTGATGTGATGTGATGTAGTCTTAATGCGTATGTATGTATGTATGTATGTATGTATGTATGTATGTATGTATGTATGTATGTATGTATGTATGTATGTATGTATGTATGTATGTATGTATGTATGTATGTATGTATGTATGTATGTATGTATGTATGTATGTATGTATGTATGTATGTATGTATGTATGTATGTATGTATGTATGTATGTATGTATGTATGTATGTATGTATGTATGTATGTATGTATGTATGTATGTATGTATGTATGTATGTATGTATGTATGTATGTATGTATGTATGTATGTATGTATGTATGTAATGTATGTATGTATGTATGTATGTATGTATGTATGTATGTATGTATGTATGTATGTATGTATGTATGTATGTATGTATGTATGTATGTAATGTAATGCAATGTAATGTAATGTAATGTAATGTAATGTAATGTAATGTAATGTAATGTAATGTAATGTAATGTAATGTAATGTAATGTAATGTAATGTAATGTAATGTAATGTAATGTAATGTAATGTAATGTAATGTAATGTAATGTAATGTAATGTAATGTAATGTAATGTAATGTAATGTAATGTAATGTAATGTAATGTAATGTAATGTAATGTAATGTAATGTAATGTAATGTAATGTAATGTAATGTAATGTAATGTAATGTAATGTAATGTAATGTAATGTAATGTAATGTAATGTATGTATGTATGTATGTATGTATGTATGTATGTATGTATGTATGTATGTATGTATGTATGTATGTATGTATGTATGTATGTATGTATGTATGTATGTATGTATGTATGTATGTATGTATGTATGTATGTAATGTATGTATGTATGTATGTATGTATGTATGTATGTATGTATGTATGTATGTATGTATGTATGTATGTATGTATGTAATGTATGTATGTACGTATGTATGTAATGTATTAATGCATGTATGTATGTATGTATGTATGTATGTATGTATGTATGTATGTATGTATGTAATGTATGTATGTATGTATGTATCTATCTATCTATGTATGTATGTATGTATGTATGTATGTATCTATGTATCTATGTATCTATGTATCTATGTATCTATGTATCTATGTATCTATGTATCTATGTATCTATGTATCTATATATGTGCGTATGTATGTATTGGTATGTATGTATGTAATGTAATGCAATGTAATGTAATGTAGTGTAATGTGAGCTATGTATGTAATGTAATCTAGTGCAATTTGATGTAATGTAATGTACTGTTATGAATGATATATAATGTATGTAATATTATGTCATGTTTCGCGATGTATGCATTTAAAAATAAGAAAAAATATTATTTTCATGTTGTGCTATGTCATGTTATGTTACGTATGTATGCATGCTAGGTATGCTAGGTATGTTAGGTATATTAGGTATGTTAGGTGTGTTATGCATGTATGTATGTATGTATGTATGTAAGTTTGTTTGTTTGTTCGTTCGTTTGTATGTATGTGTGTATGTATGTATGTATGTATGTATGTATGTATGTATGTATGTATGTATGTATGTATGTATGTATGTATTTGTGTATGTATGTGTGCATGTTGGTTTGTTTGTTTGTTTGTTTGTTTGTTGGTTGATATGCATGTGTGTACTGTATGGCATGGTATGGTAGGTGCGGTATGATGGTACGGTGCCAGAATGTATTGCCAGGTACAGTGCTGCACTGCAATTTAATGAACTGTAACGTAATGTAATGTATTGGAATGAAACGACATGTAGTGTAATTCAATGCGATGCAACGTATCATACCTAAACGCAGCGTTGTTTTCTGTTTTTGCCTTTTGTTTCATGTGATGTGATGTGATGTGATGTGATGTGTTGTGTTGCAATTGAATGTACGGTACTGTAATTTCGCAAGTTATGTATGGCATGTACTGCAATGCAATCTAGTGGTGGAACGGAATGTAAAATAATGGCATGTAATGCAATGTACAATGTACCGGTATGTTCTACAGTCTAGAGATAGTAATGATGCAATGGACACAACGCATACAGTACATGTATGTCGAGGATGCATGTAGCGTAGTATAGTGTAGGGCAACCGCAATGTAATGCATGGTCTGAATTTAAGGCATGTATTCATGCATGCATGCATGCATGCATGCATGCATGCATGCATGCATGCTTCCTGGCTGGATTGCTTGCTTGTTTGCTTGTTTGCTTGTTTGCTTGTTTGCTTGCTTGCTAGCTTGCTTGTGTCTATGTCTTGTCCGCAAAAAGAAAGGTTTTCCATTTTACAGAGCCAGTAAAGCGAAACAAGTCAAGCAACCCTGCAAAAGCGCCATGTGTCTTTCTTTTGGCAGCTTTACTTTTTCTTTTTGGCCTTTGAGACACGCCCACATAAGACGTGTGCTGCTTCTGGTAGTTTTACTTTTTACTTTTCGCTGGACAAAACGGGCATTTGTGAAAATAATCAATGTGAAGAAACAACATACGCCCCAATTGGCTGGGAATTTCTTGTTTGGAAGTGCTGTTGGACCAATCTTGGAAGCTGGGAAAGCTTCCTACTTTCTCAGCGATGGCAAGCAAACTAAAGTTGTGTTTCCTAGATTCGCGGTTCAAGATTCAAGCATCTAGACCAATGAGCATGGACAATCTTTCATTACGAGCTGAAAACGGGACACGCGCGCACTCACAGAGGTTTGTGCACCCTAGATAGACTGTGCCTAATTCTAGTTATTTTTCCTAGATTCAAGATTCAAGATTGCCGAGGTGTCCGTTTCTCAATTGTCTTGAATTCAGGAAACCAATGTTTCCCTAATGGCTTTGAGTCTTTGACTTGGTATGTCACCATTCGTTTGCTTGAGGTCAACAGTGAGAATCGAGGAATCCGCGGCTACAGAGGAGACAGACGGCGGGAGTCCTGACGGGGGACGGCCAAAACCGATTCACTTTGAGTCAATATTTTTGGCCGTTTCACTTTGAGTCAGGTTGACTGGAATTTGAGGCCCCCGCTCCTGGGGTCCGAGAAGCCGCCGAACGAGGGGAAGAGGATGTATCACTACTACTGCAACAAGATGTACAAGGCATTCGAATCCTCGAGGTCTCTCTTTCTCTCTCACACTTTGTTGCATGCGCAAGTCTTGCTTGAAGCTACCTTGTGGTATTACATGGGATCAGCCGAGCAACTGACACTGCTGGTAGTCTACAGACAGTTTGGGCACAACATCCTGGCGGACCCATCGAAGTGTCCAATGTCTTCTTGGGGAGCAAGGATTATTCCCCAACAGCTAAAAGCTTTGGGGTCTCAGCCCAGATAGGCTCCGGGGTGGTCCGGGGCGGCCCCAAGATAAGGTTCCACGAGGGTTCTACGAGGGTTCCACCAGGGTTCTATTAGGGTTCCATCAGGGTTCCACGAGGTTCTGCGGGGTGCGAGCACTAAAAAGAGCACCGCATGCTGTTGGGGATATCACCTGAGCTTATAGTCTTTTTTGTTGAACAAACATCTCTTTCTCTGTCCAGTCTTCTTTCTCTCTTCCTTTTCTCCCTCCCCTCCCCTCCCCCCCTCCCCTCCCCTCCCCTCCCCTCCCCTCCCTCCCTCCCCCTCCCCTCCCTCCCCTCCCCTCCCCTCCCTCCCCTCCCCCTCCCCCCTCCCCTCCCCCGCCTGCCCTCCTGCTCCCTTCCTCCCTCCCTTCCTCCCCTTCCTCCCTTCCCCCCTTCCTCCCTTCCTCCCTTCCTCCCTTCCTCCCTGCCTCCCTTCCTGCCTGCCTGCCTGCCTGCCTGCCTGCCTGCCTGCCTGCCTTCCTGTCTCTCTGTCTGTCTGTCTTTCTGTCTGTTCTCTCTGCCTGCCTGCCTGCCTAGCTGGCTGCCGGGCTGGCTGGCTGGCTGGCTGGCTGGCTGTCTGGCTGGCTGCCTCGCTGGCTGTCTGGCTGTCTGTCTGTCTGTCTGTCTATCTGTCTCTCTGTCTGTCTGTCTGTCTGTCTCTCTCTCTCTCTCTGTCTGTCTGTCTGTCTGTCTATCTCTGTCTGTCTCTGTGTCTTTGTCTTTGTCTTTGTCTGTGTCTGTCTCTGTCTCTGTCTCTGTCTCTGTCTCTGTCTCTGTCTCTGTCTCTGTCTCTGTCTCTGTCTCTGTCTCTGTCTCTGTCTCTGTCTCTCTCTCTCTCTCTCTCTCTCTCTCTCTCTCTCTCTCTCTCTCTCTCTCTCTCTCTCTCTGTCTGCACGCATGGCGTAGCGTGCTTGAGTTAATGATCAACATACATGATGCTTGACGAGCTGGCTTCGAAGCTTTACAGGTCATTCGCTTCGCCGATTCAGAGACACAGCCAGCCAGTCCTTGCCTCACGTTTGCGTTGAAATCGCCAGTGCTGTGCACTCTCTGCGAGGTCAATTGACGAAGGGAACCTAGCAGGTGGCTCCCAGGGGCAGAGGCTGCTCTGAACTTGCCCGTAGTCTTGGCATCAGAGCCTGGCAAAAAGGCGCTTTATCTGGGCAGCTTGTTTATATATGACAGGTGTCAGTCAGATACTCTAACTGCCATAGCCTTATCCCCACACCGGTGGGCAAACAGGATGGTGTTTGTGGTTGCCCTTGTTTTTCGAAAGCCACGGGGTCTTTGCCCAGATAAGCTCCAGACGACGGTACGCTCCATAGAACAGTTACTCGATGGGATTTCTGAAAGGTTCCGGAAGGTTCCGGGGTTCCATGGAGCGGTTTCTCAGGGGCTGTTGGATTGGGCTCTGAGAGGTTCAGAGTGGTTTTGGAGCCGCTGCAACCTCGGGTTCTTGAAGGGTTCTGGTGGCTGCCGTCTGGCATGCCACCTAGGCTTATTTTAGTACAGGTAGCGAGCGGTATTACCCCCGAACATTTTTCTTCCAACTAAAGACGGGGACGAGCGGGACAGATGGCCCAAACGGACCCAATTCCGGAGCCGTTTTCGCATGCGCGAACAAATTCGTTCTGATGACGCCCAAGATCTAGCTTGCCACAATGGCAATTCCGTTTCATAATGCAGTCGACAGTTTGCGACCCAGGCCAGGCTTGATCCGGTATCCTGACCTGAGGCTTGTGTTGAGCCCTGACAGGTTTGGAATGCTATGGCTACTAGTGCTGTTGCAGCTCGCATTGCAAGCAGGCCAGCAAGCATGAGCAAGTCCGACAAGTGTCTTGCAAGCTAATGTTGCCAGACTCTAGCTTGGTGATCGGAAATGTCGCAATGGCCTAGGTGTCAAGCACTCTGGCCAAGCAAGGCTTATTTTGGGGGACCAAGCCTGGTTGCTCTTCTGAAGCCCTCTAGCTCGAGCTTCGATCCCGTTCGGGATCTCTTTGATCGGCTCAAGCGCTCGCAGGTGCCACAAGCCTCGCTCGAAGGCAGCCAAAAGCGCCCTGCGAGTTTGCCGAGAGCGAGCCGCTCAACTCGTGCGCCAAGGTTGGGGGGGCGGAGAAGCTCGAAGTTTGTAGGTCAACACGCTCTGACGCCTTTTACTTCCTCTTCTGCCCGTTGCGTACAAAGTTTCAGCCACTACCCTAAACCCAAGCAAACGCAGGCTGAAACACAAGCCCAAACCCACCCTGAACCAAGCCTAACCAGCCCCAACCATTCGAAGGGAGAGGACAAAGGCTCATTTTTGGGTAAGTGCCGTGCTAGACCCATCAGTAGCAAACATGCGGTCCTCGGGGGGTTGTTGATTTCAGATGGGCTTGGGCCTGGCTTAGAGTGGATTTCTTGTTGATTTCAAACTCTAGGACAGGTTCAGGGATGTTTTAGTGTTGAGGAAGAAAGCCGATCAGCATGATTCTCAAGTGACTCAATCGTGCCATTGTGTTCGCTGCTGAAGGCGGCTTGCCCTTGTCTGTGCAGGTGAAGCGCGGTGAACAATTGTGGCGACCAAGCTGATTTCACTGCTCAGTGAGCCAGCGGTATTACTTGTTGGAGTTGCATACCCAGAAAGGGGGTTGCAATGCACCTAAAGGGCTACAAGAAATATTGCAGACTTCATGTGGGGTTGGGGAGCAGATTAAGCACAATGTATATTTTGGGATGTCACTTCAATCGTCCTCAGCCTCGAGCCCAGGCAGCAGCACCTGGAAGAGGCCTGGAGTCATCTTTGCAAGGCCAGCGCCCGGTGCTTGGGGCCAATGGGAATCAATCCTCCAAGGGGGACTTGAACCAGTATTCTCCAACATCCATAGCCCTTTCCCATGGAGTTTTGACCGTGGCACTGGGATACCACGCGGTTTCCAAATTCTGTAATGCTGAATGCGGGATGGAGGACAGCCAAACCGCGCCCTACATGGATGTTTTCTTGGACAAGCGTTTCCGCCAGAATTACGAGAAGGCATCAGCCTTTGATGTGCTGATGACTGTGGTGTTACTTGTTTTTGACGTCTGAGGCTTACAATTCAGATGGTTGGACAGATGCTGCGTGGGTGAATTATGTAGCACTGAAAAAGGCTGGAGGCTGGGCACGGCACAAGATTGCAATCCTTGGGCTGCCCGACACTTGCCGTGGCTAGATACATACGGACAACTCACAGCCGCTGGGCCGAAATGGTGCTCGGAAATGCCCAAAATCAGTGTGGAAGCCTCATTGGACGAGCTGAGGAGAGGCTGGTGGAGTCTGTCCATCGCTTTTCCAAGCATCCGATTGTTGTGGTGAACTTTGGGTTGCAGGCTTGAGAGCACAGGAATAGCAAGGGAACAGCTTGGACGACTTGTTTTTGGCAGGATCCAGGGCTGGATCCAGCTCGTTTTCCACGCTTGGTGCCACCTGACTGAAGACGTTGACTTTCCATTGACGGTTTCATGCGTGAAGCCCTCAAGCTATGTGCACACTTTCAGCCAGGCTGCTTCATGCCCGAGCCCTTGACCGGGGAGTGTCCTTCAACTTCAACAAGTTTCGGGCCATTCTGCTGGCTCAGGCGCTTTTAGCAGTGTGAGCACTTTGCTGCGCCGAGTAACATGTGAAAGGTCAAGGTTGGGGCATCGTTGGACTCAGCCACTTGGCGTTGATTTGCCCTTATATAGCAGAAGGACAGCTCAGCTGAAGACTCTAGCTACGTTAAAGACTAACTGAATTGAACAGAATGCATAGCATTCTAGTCGGCACCAAGGACATGATGATGGCTACACCTCATGCTGATCAGCTCCTCCAGCGCACTGAAGAGGAGATCAACGAGAAGTGCACTGACAAGACAATCTTTAGTTGATCTCAGCGCACCGTCAGTGCAGGTATCGATTTCCTATGATGCCCACACACTTCCTAGATCGCGACCCTCGAGACAGCGAGTCTGGCAAGGCTTGCCTCTCCTTTCCTTCCCCCGCTCGCTGCTGTGTGCATGTTCCAGAGGGAAATTTCGCGAAGTACACCTGCGACCAGTGCCCAACGCCAACTATGCGCTGGGGCCAGGCTAGATTAGCCACCATTTCTGGCTTTAGGTTGCTGTCTACGCGCAGGCGCAGCCAACGTGGACTCACTGGTCGCTGAATTTCGTGAGCCGCTGGCTAGCGGCGAAGATTGCAGGCCAGTGCAAAGCGCTCTGAAGGATGTACTGGTAGACCTAATTATTTGCTACAAGCCGGCCGCAGACTAGCCGGCCGAGAATTGTAGCGTGCTTTCAGCAAGTGCTCGCGGCCGTTGACAGAGCCGTGCTGGCCAGGACGTCCTGAGCAAGGAGTTCCTACAAGGGACATCAGCGAGGATGAGGATTTATTGAACGTGGCCTTGTGGTAACTCAGCTGATGTTAGCTTCATGTTTGGTTTTTGCTGGGATGGCACATTTGTCAGCTGGTTTGAAGGGTAATTGTTGGGTGTTGGTCTTGCGCACTTCAGAGATCTTGCTTGCATACTCTTGATGCCTTCAATTCAAGCCTTCTTTGAACATAATCGAGCAACCAATACCCAAATCAAGACGCAGATGCAGACACAAAACAAAGCCAACGCCACACGCGCACACGCCACACGCGCACACGCCACACGCACGAACACGCGCGCACGCGCACACGCGCACACGCGCACACTCGCGCACGCTCACGCGCACGCACAGGCACACCCACACCACACACACACACACACACACACACACACACACACACACACACACACACACACACACACACACACACACACACACACACACACACACACACACACACACACACACACACACACACACACACACACACACACACACACACACACACACACACACACACACACACACACACACACACACACACACACACACACACACACACACACACACACACACACACACACACACACACACACACACACA